CTGTGGAATAACTGCGGGGGGTTGACTACCCCAAGTATTCGTGTTCCCAGACAAGATAAGTATTCGAAAGAGTACATTAAGTATCATGTGTGATCGGGGGTCAATAGACCCCATTACAGTGATTCGAATGCACCATCATTCCATTACCGTAAATCTACAAACTATACAAGGTGAACCTAAACTGTTGTCAAAAACTGTTTATAAACATGTTCATAAACAGTTATAAACAAAAATATAACCATAATATAAATTAATACTAATTAAAAATTTAATAGATAATTATTTTATTGATGAAGATTAGATATTTTACATTATTCTTTACCATATTTTGGCGTTTCAATTGTATTTTGACAATTCTAAATTTATTTCTTGGAATATTCAAAAATACTTTAATTACTCACAGCACTTAATTTATGATTTAATGAAAAAATAACAAAAAAAAAAAAACAGGGCTATTAAAATATGTGTATGAGATCGATTTGTGTTTTCCTTATCATAAAACTTTACTACGTAAGTTTTATGTCCAAAAAAAGTATATTTTGAAGTAGTTATTAAAGTTATTAACTTGAATAAAATATTTAAAAATAAATTTTAGTAGGTTACATAAAATAAATTCACGAGCGTGTCCAAACTTTCCTCTCAATTTTGTAAGTACATACACATTTTTAATAGGAACATAGCATCAATATTATTAACAAAACACTGTTCGATACCTGTAGATCCGATGAAATTTCACATGGAAAAACCCCCTTCTAAAACACGCGACTACGCATATATCTATAAGGTTTTGATGTAATATTTTATTTGTGTGAGACTCTCAGCAACCAGCTTTTGTTTCAAGTCTTTAGCAGATCTAGACCAACGACATCATCGGCAAATATAAATTATACAAATAAATCACAGAATGAAACATGTGTATCAAAGATACCCGGATATTACTAAAATATTACGGATATTCACTACCGCAAATATTTGAACAGTATTTAAATTACTTGAAATCACAATCATACACATCTATGCACGTACATGCATTTATCTGCATATAGTTATTTGTGTAAATTAAGACTAAAGATATAAACTAAGAGCTTAATTAATACAATTTTAATCACTTCCTTTAAGTAATCATCTTTTTTACCAATCCTATTTCCCAAGAGAGCATTTTGACATTTACAAAATATTCTCTTTGGAAATTTAAAATTTCTCTTTCAATGACGTACATCATTCACATATTGAAACCGCTATACATAATTTGTAAAGGAATTCCATAATAATCAATGACTTCAGTTTTAATTGATAAATAAACGATTTGTAAATTTCAAAAAAATTTTTCTAGTAAATTTAATACATATTTAACAAAGATAAAGAGTGTATTACGCATTAAAGATTATCTTTTACACACACTTACATAATACTTAGGTAAAAAGCTATATATTTCATTCAAATTACTATATTTGATATTGGTATATGTGTAATCTTCTCTAATCTAGTATCCTAAGTTTAACACACTTTTTTTTGTGCCTAATTTGATAACCCAACAAACGATAAACGTCACTTACTCTTATACTTGTATACAATCAATCAAAATAAATTGTTTACTTTTGTGATTGACAATTCAATAAAACGTCGGAGAGATTCGTCTAGCATATTGTCTAATCACGTACATATGTATGTAGATTGCTATTTGAGAAAAAATAGAAAGATTTTTAAGTATACACCCTTGCCACAAGCTATGGATAAAAAGTCTAAGTGGTAATAAAAAGTCATAAATAGATAGTTTTAATTAAAAATTACGGATAAAAATTTCACAGTATTAAAAATCACAGTATTAAAATTCGTAGGCCGTAAAATTTGCTGTAATTTCAGTTACATGATAATTACAAATAAGTGTTTATATAGCTGGATATTTTTAGTATAGTCTGTTTATGCTATTATAAGCTCGTATATTTAGTATAGTGATTTGTACAGTTTATTCGTATTTCTAGTTGCCTACTTTTGTAAATGAAGTTTCTGAATTCGGACGTGAATATGGTGTTCCGCCGATTAACAGATAAAGTCAAATGTACACCCTCTTGTAAAACTTTCGACACCCCCCTGATTTCTTTTAACATTTAGCGGGTCTTATATGATTATTAAATTGGGCACTCTTACAGATTAAACTTGATTCTATATTTTGATAATTATTGAAGAGCGCACGCAATTAATTTATTCTCTACAAGCGATTCTATTTTTTTATCTATATGCAAAATATGCGAATTTTGTTTTATTTTTTAATTTTATTGAAAATTCTGTTATCTCATTTCCTTAATTAAATAAAGTGACAATTAAAAATTTTTTTTGTATTATCAAAATTATATTAGGAATGCTTAATATTAATCTACTATAAAGCCTAAGTAATACGTCCCTATTAATAAATTATTGTGTGTCTATTATAAAATTTGTCCAAAATAAAATTTTATTATACTAGTAATGACGCAATACATAAGGAATACGCCAAATGAATCATTTTAAAGGGATCGTAAAATTTTAAAAATTGTTTGTTGTTTTTGCCAAAAAGAATACGGAAAATGTTATTAGTACTGTCATAGAAGTACCTTATGTCATTTACTTTTTGTTAATTTGATGCAGATATTTTTTAAAGTAAATGATATTTGCTAAACTTAAAATTCCGAGCAAATCATTTTTCTTAGTTAAATTAAAATATAAGTTGTATAGAGTAAGGAGGTCTTTCGAAAATTTTTAAAATAATGTTAGTATTATTAACTTAAATTTGATAACAATAATATATGGGACAAATACAAGCAATTTACTTTTAAAACATTCTTTCATTCTTTGATCTGTTTGATAGCACTTAGATGACATTTTACCATCATGCTATATTTTTCTACATGTGAATTGGCGTACATTTATCAAATCACAAAAATCTTGTTTGAGGTCAAACCCACCTCTTATGATATACCTGGTAACTAAAGAAATAAAATAATTATAAATATATTATGTACTTATAAAAATAAGTGATAATTTAAAAAAAAAAAAATAATCTCACTTCATTTTGAAACTCATAATTTTTTTACTTTTATTTTTGAAAAAAAGTTATGAATTAGATAATGATTATGGTGAATGACAAGCTTAAGATATAGGAAAACTTCAAAATTGTGTATAAATTAAATTTTCAATATACACCTTTCACCAATACAAATATGCATAATTATTTTCACAAGCTTAATTTTTGGCGAATAAATGATTAACCCCAATCTGTAGTTGTTGGGAAAAAATTACTGCAAATATAAATGAATTATTGCTGGAAATGAATGATTGTGTGTATGAATGAATGAAAATTGAATACGATCGTATTATTTATAGTTTAAGATGCCAAAGCTAAAATTTTAATTACAAATTACTTAAAAGAATTGCAGGAAATTACATAACTACATATATGCATGCATGTATTTAAAACATCCAAAATTTTATATCAAAGCACCAAATGTTTGTACTTCTGTTCAAAAAATTCGGTTGTAGTGCAGGTGTGAACTATAATTTTTAATATTTACAAGCAACCAAATAAATAAGGCCTTTGATTTCGGTCTAATTATGTGGTATTAAAGGCAAAAAAATTCATACGGCTAAATAATAAAAAAAATATTGCTTTTGTACAAAATATTTTAGTAATTGAAAAATTTTTTTAAAATTTAGTTCCACATAGTTTTTATTATGAATTCGAAAAAAAATTATCATCCATATGGTAACACCTATTTAAATACAAACATGTATCACTAATTACGGTTTTTGTAATTTCAAATTTTATAGTTTTTGAGCTTAAAAAAAGCTTTCCTGAAAGAAAGCTTTGTTTTTGAATTTAAAAAAAAATCCTTTTTTCCATCCCTGAAAAAAATTCGGAGTAAATCATAAAACTTTTTTTGAAGTAAATGTTAAAGAATGTGGTGAGAAAGTTTTTTTTCCAAAACTTTCTGTGACTAATACAAGGTGCAAAGCTTCAATTTTTAATTTATTGCTAATAAGCTGTGAGAATATAAAAAATACATTTCTACTTCTTAATCTTAATTAAATTATTTAAAAGCTTTCAATAAATTAAAGGGGATTTTTCCATAAATATTTGCATATGTATTTATATTTGGTTATTCAAACACACAATCAAATGTATAATGTTTGCAGGATGTTTTAATTTTACCGACAAGCCTTCTGACAAATAATATTTTTAATTCTTTTATAAGAAACACCCAAAGAAACTAGAGGCATACACAAAAATTTAGAAATTTATAAATAAAATAAAAATTTCGAATTCCTTACAATTCACCTTACCCTGTCTTAACTAATTAACCCAAAATATCAAGTGCAAGCATCAGAACAAACGCACTATAGAGTTTCACTAAGGACAAACGTTTTTCTATAATTCTTCATAAACCTTGTATTCATGTAATAAGCTCTTGTTTTTCTTCAAAAATTATGCCAGCAATCCTTCTATACTATGTTCAATTTAGTGATGTGCTAAAACAATTTTAACTCTTACGATTAATGTGTAACAGAGTATAAAGATCGCTTTGCAAACTTGTTGATAGAATTACGACCATGATTGGAACAATATCAATATGACAAGTCAACTTAATAACTTTTAATATATTTTTATGTTAACAAATAGTCAATATAGTTTATTATGTAAGGAAATGATAAGAATTAATTGATTTTTGAAAAAATTTATCAAATAAAAATCAAAATTTTAACACGATAACACTTTGAGAATTTGATCGAGTACCAAATAATTGAAATGACAAAAAGAAAAATTTTCTAGAATTTTTCTACGAAAGTTTTTTAATTAAATAAACTCTAGATATCTGATCAAATTGATCACTGCTTGATGAATATCGAAACTATAAAAGAAAAATTTCTACTGTAGCATGTCAGAGTTTTCTAAAAACCTTTTAGGAGTTCAATCAGAGTTTTCTAAAAACCTTTTACGAGTTCAATTAAATTAAAAAGCTAAAACAATGAAAGGTAACAAAAGATTTACAAAAATTTTAAATGAGGACAAATAAATTCTTTGCTTTCTTTTAGCAGGTTTCGTTATTTTTGCAATTTTTTCACTTGGAATAATAAGTGCAAATGCCGATTGGCCACAATGTAATGGTGTCGCCCATGGAAGACTAGTTCATCATCCAGATACATGTACAAAATATATTGTTTGTGAAAATGGCGGTGTTGAAATGACATGTCCAGCAAATCTACATTTTAGTGAAGCACAGCAAACTTGTGATTATCCAGAAAGAGCAAATTGTCAAGGAAATTCAGGAAGACCTTGTCCACCTTGCCCTAATCCTTGTCCAAACCCGTGCCCTAATCCTTGTCCAAAACCATGTCCAGATCCATGTTGCTGTTGTTGTTGCAAAGAAACAACAACAACAACAACAACTCGGAAACCATGTCCTCCACCATGCCCAAATCCATGTCCTCCACCATGCCCTGATCCATGTTTTAACCGCCGCCTACGTTCAATTGCCTCCAAAATAAATTTAAACAAGGATTTGGATATTGTAAACAAAAAATAAAGTATTCAAGTGTGTCAAAAAATATTTTGTAAAGTAAAATACATAATATGTTGGTGCATGTATGTATTCGAATGTCTTAAAAATATAACAAGAAGTATTCAATAAAAATTGTTTAAAATTTGCAAAAGAGAAATTTATTATTAATTTTTGGAATGTGTTAAAGTTCTTTAAAGGTAAACGTTAGACAACCTCTTTTACGAAAGAAAACTCACTTATACTAGCATTTTTAGTTTGAATTTCAACTATCTGAAGTGATTAAAAATTATATTCGTAATTGCAAATTTTAATTTCTTCCTAGTAGAAGATTTTGTAATAATTTGTTTATTAGAAACTGCTTGTAACTGCTTTTCTTATACATCTTCATTTTTCATTCCTGAATTCGAAATAGAACTAAAAATCTTCAAGAACATATAAAATTTTTTAAAAGCTTAAAACAAGAGAACTTTTGCGAAACTTTCTCTAAGAAACAAAAGTATTAAACTTCTATTTATTTCGAAATTTTATTTCAATCAAGGAAGCAACAAAAAATTAAAAAATTTAATAAAAAATTTTGCATATGTTTAGGAGAAATTTATCTCTGTTATTGAATTATTGGGAAGGTAGTATATTTTCGTGGCTCAATATTTATGTACCACTTTCAAATAATACTTGAGAATTTTTGAAATGACTTATATGTTTAGAACATCATTTGAGAATATCACCATGGGAATATTGTTATGCAGTTAAAGGCATTCAAATTATTTCTTTTAATGATTCCAGAAATATCCTGTTTATATCAACCATTCTATTTATTATATATAATTTTTTCTTCTTCCAGAGAACTAAAATTTCTGATTGATGATCTTGTTGGTAGATATTCTAGCTGCCATTATATCTCACGGGTTCAAGCGTTTAGTTGAGATCAAGAGAAGAAATTGAAAAACTAAGAGAATTCGAAGACCAATACAGAGAAATTGATCAACAGTTATTTAGATCTACGATGATTCACAAACGCCTGATCCCAATAAGTAAGACCAGTAGGCAAACGAAGCCCAGTGAGCGGCTACCTACAAAAACAGTGTGACTACATATTCGTGGATGGAGAGCAATGTGTAATGTGAGTAAGAGTTTCGTATTTTATCGTGATTATCAAGGCAGGGAACCAAAGAGATGAAGAACATAGATCACCCTTTATTATTTTCCCTTTCCGAAGATAAAGAACGAACGAATTTTGGAAAATTTAACTTTTTGACAGGAAAAAGTTATGATTCTATAATTTAAATTGTGTTACCCTATAACTCTGGAACTCTGACTCAATTGTTATGATTACAGACTAATAACAATTTATTTAAAAATTATGTTGAAAAAAAGTGATATTTAGCCAGATTTAAAAATATTAGATTAATCCACCTAAAGCGTAATTTGTTGATTTAATAACATAATCAAAAAATTAACATTATTTAAGTATGATAATTACATTTTTAGAACAAGAATGTAAACGCTCAGTATAAATGTATTATAGCCAAACGCTTTTGAATACCAGCTTAAGCAAAAATATTATAATCAAAGTACCAGAGGCAAGGGCGCCATTTGTTTAAGCCTCCATAATTCAATAGGTGCAATATCAATATGAAAAATTAAATTAAAAATTTTCTATACATTCTAAATCATTTAAAAAATATTATGTAAAGCATGGAAGTGATAAGCAGAATTTGATTTCAGATATTATTTACATGCACATTTTAATATTTTAACATGATTTAAAAAATGTGCCACAAAACTAAAAAAAAAAAACCAAAATTCTATTTTTAAACTTTTTTTATATTTCTAAAAAGATTTCTTTAATTCTTGAATTAGATAAAGTTTTTAATTAGATAAATTTTCGATATTGTTGGCAGATTGATCACAACTTAAATCGAAAAAGTATATAAGGAAAATTTTTAGCAAAGTGTGTCACAGTTTCTTATAAGTCTTTTAGAAACCCTGTTTAGCTAAAAACAGAAACAATGAAAGGTAAAAAAGTTTGTAAACTATAAATAACTTAAAATAAATAATTTATTTGTATATTGCAGGAGCCATTATTTTAGCAATTTTTTCACTAGGAATAGTAAGTGTATACGCCGATTGGCCACAATGTGATGGTGTCGCTCATGGAAGACTAGTTCGTCATCCAGACACATGTAGAAAATATATAGTCTGTGAAAATGGCGGTATTGAAATGACTTGCGCAGCTGATCTCCATTTCAATGAAGAGTTACAAACTTGTGATTATCCTGAAAAGGCAGGTTGTGAAGGAAATCCAGGACCTGGACCAGGACCCGGACCAGGACCCGGCCCAGGACCAGGACCAAGCCCTGGACCAGGACCTTGTCCACCTTGTCCCAACCCCTGCCCTAATCCATGTCCAAAACCATGTCCAGATCCATGCTGCTGCTGCTGTAATTGTGGTTCAACTACTCCCAGGCCAACAACTCCAAGACCTACAACACCAAGACCAACAACACCAAGACCAACAACACCAAGACCTACAACTCCAAGACCAACAAGCAGTTCAACTACACGTGGTCCAATTACAACACCTCAACCATGTCCACCATGTCCTCAGCCATGTCCAGATCCATGTCATAAACCATGTCCTGATCCCTGTTTTAATCGCCGTCTTCGATCAATCGCTTCCAAATTATTGATAAAAAAAGAATAAAATATTTTAATTTCTCTGTATAATAAAGAAACTATGTAAAATTGTAAATTGAAAACTTAACAAAAAAGCGTATGATTTTTGAATGTCAACCTCCACCTCAAGCGCTCTACATCTATTTTTACAGTATTGAAAGGTTAAATTGTGAGGTAAATTAAATATGAAACCCGTCATTTTTGTATTGTATTATAAATAATATTCAGTATAAAGGAAAACTTAAATAAACTTTTTTTAATATAAATTAAGGAATTTGTTACTGCTTATTTTTCTTCTTTTTATATTTTTTGACTATTTTATGTTGCGTTCATTTAATCGCTTTTAATTGAAATCATATTTACAATTATCAACTTAAAATAAACTTAAATTCAGTTATCCAGTCATCCACTACCCTGTCCATTCTTTTCAGGTGGACCTTCGAGAGGCAGTGTCTAGTGAGAACCCCCACTAATGCCCTCAAATTTGGACAACTGAGCATTGTCAGACCCTATCACCCCAGTCCCAGGAGAGACACAAATTTACTAGGATGCGATAGGCCCTGGCAGCTATCCCAGTGTTAAACTCTGGCCCGCTCCTCCCATTCATTGAGGGCACGCAAGACCGTTGTCTTGTGCAACCCAAAGCATGGCTACGGTCGAATGAAGGTAGCCGCCGCTCCCTCCCTGGCAAGACTATCAGCTCTATCGGCCTCGTCCACTCCGTAGTGTCCTGGCACCCACATCAAGGTTAATTTGTTGTGTCAATGCATTCTTTCAGCAGCCTGGATCCCACTACATCAGACAAGAGAGCCCCAAGACCAGCCCTACTGTCCGACATAATAAAAATCCTCCTCCTGTTAATGTTCCTGCTCCTCCTAATGAAAACGTTACTTACTACTGTTGTTAAGTATGTTAGGAGGGTACTTGAATAATTTCGATCTCTCATCTAAATGTTAGGAATCATTTAAGAAAAAATAAAAAGATTTGTTTTTTGCAGTTTTTGCTGCCCACACTAAAACTAAGATCAAAATACAACACATTTTTTTTAAGCTATTATTATAGCCCAAAAAAATCTGATGTGGTCAGCACATAACCGACCGCATTGTGCATTGTCTAGTTAAGTGAAAGTGTTACAGAATATTATAAAAATGCCCAGATACAGAATATTATAAATAACATTAGTAAGCTTATAGTTAACATACTTAGAAAAATATAAATTTGGCTCTTAGTTGAGTTTCGCTTTGTGCCACCCGAATTCCCTGAAATGCTCGTCAGTTAGTTTCGGTAACAACCAGAACTCAAATATCAAATTTCAAGAAATTCTATCAATTAGTTCCGTAGATATAGTGAAACATGTAAAATCGGCCCGCAGATCAGTTTTCGATCCCTGATCTTTCCAAAAAAATTTATATGTTCATTGCTTTAATACGAAGAACCTAAATATTAAATTTCAATGAAATCGGTCGATTATTTCTCTTTATATACGCAAAAATGTATATTTGGCCCGTAGTAAACGTCCAGTTGCTGACACCTGATTTCTTCCAAAAGTTAGGTTTTGCGGCCGGTCGAGCGAAGCTTATATATGAAATCTCAAGCAAATCGATTGAATAGTTTCTACCGTGCCATGGTAGAAATAAACTTAGATATAAAATTTCATAAAAATCGGTTCAGTAGAACTTGAGATACACGCGTGCATACACAGACCGACAGACCGATAGACCGACAGACCGACAGACGGACAGACCGACAGGTTGCTAAAAATAGTTTATTTACACTTCCCTACTATGGAGAAGTGCATTTCCACCGAAAACTCGATATGCAAAATTTGTTGCCATCACATAACATACCTATTGTATACACAATACGGTCGGTAAAAATATTTGTACAATAATTACTGCATTGCATGCAATAAGGGAGGTTTTGTGACAAAATATTGAGCTAGTGGAATTCTTAAAGAGAATACATTTCTCCATGGTAAAGAAACCGGTATAAGTAAAATATTTTTAGACGAATCCGATCAGTCAGCATATCTGTAAAGTTATCTTATTTATATTTGCGAAGGTTGCATCTGAATTAACTTTAAAAATATAAATTGTAGATTATCGGCGCATCTTTTACATTATTAAAGATTTTTACATATACATTATAACCGTAATCATAAGAAACCACCGAGCTTCTACAAGAAATTGGACTTATTTGGAAAGTGTTCTTAGTTAAATTTAGTATAAGTTCCAGAGTGACGTGAGCAGGGAAATGGTTTTCCCAAAAGGAGAGAAGTAATTGAATTTTATCTCTTTTATTTGATTTAGTTATTGTTCCTCAAATAAAAATTGAAGATTACTTTAATGACCAGGCTTAAAAGGTATGGAGAATAATTTGTTTCTTTTCTTGTGCCTTTCATGTATTTATATTTATAATAAATTAAAGAACATAATTTAAAAATATAACGGTAACAAAGGGGAAATACTTCCCCCACCCATTTCGCTCATTTGTGTAGGCATCCATGATAAGAGCCAAATATCAATATGAGAAATCAAATTAAAATTTTTTTTACATATTTTAAAGTTTTAACAAAATTTATATTACGTAAGGCAGTAGATAGATAACGTGTCTTTAATTTTCGATATTATTTACATATACATACATTTTAATATTTTAACATAATTCAAAAAATTGAGTGCCAAAACGATTTTTTGATAGATTTTTTAATAAATTTATAAATAGATATTTTTAATTAAATTAATTTAAGATATACTATTAACAGGCACCATACCAGGTAATATCGAAAGAGTATATAAGAGAAATTTTTAATAAAGCATGTCACAGTTTTCTATAAACCTCTTAGAAACTCTGTTTAATTTAAAATAGGAAAAATGAAAGGTAAATAGTTTGCATAAGTTATACGATAAATAACCGAAAATTATTTATTTATTTTTACATTGCAGGAATTATTATTTTAGCAATTTTTTTAATTGGAATAGTAAATGTATATGCCGATTGGCCACAATGTGACGGTGTCGTTCATGGAAGACTAGTTCGTCATCCAGACACATGTAGAAAATATATAGTCTGTGAAAATGGTGGAATTGAAATGACTTGTGCAGCTGATCTTCATTTCAATGAAGAGTTACAAACTTGTGATTATCCTGATAAGGCAGGTTGCGAAGGAAATCCAGGACCAGGACCCGGACCCGGACCCGGACCAGGACCAGGACCAAGTCCAGGACCAGGACCTTGTCCTCCTTGTCCCAACCCCTGCCCTAATCCATGTCCAAAACCATGTCCAGATCCATGCTGCTGCTGCTGCTGCAATTGCGGTTCAACTACTCCTAGACCAACAACTCCAAGACCAACAACACCAAGGCCAACAACACCAAGACCCACAACACCGAAACCAACAACACCAAGGCCAACAACACCAAGACCAACAACTCCAAGACCGACAACTCCCAGACCAACTCCATGCCCACCATGTCCTCAGCCATGTCCAGATCCATGCCCAAAACCTTGTCCTGATCCCTGTTTTAACCGCCGTCTTCGATCAATCGCTTCCAAATTGTTGATAAATAAAGTATAAAATATTTTAATTTCTTTACAAACAATTATTTTAAAATTTTTGTATAAAGAAATTAAATAAAACTTGTTAATTAAATAAATTTAACAAAAAGAACGTATGATTTTTTAATATCCACCGCCACTTCATGATTTGAATCTATATGTTTTAGGACTTCAAAGGTTACGTTCTGATAACCTTTGAGTTTTTTTTAAAATTTATTCGAAATCAATTATGGATCCGCTCCCAAAAATTTTTTTTCTTAAAATATGTCTTACGTGAAACTTACGTATTCAGAGAATTTACTTCTTATATTAATAGTACTCAATATAAACAATGTCATCTCAAAAGTTTCTCTCATCTTGAAACTTACTTAGACATAATATATAGGGCCCATGTCATAATTGATTTGATCTTCTATGCTCAACATTACAGGAGTTTAATCTTAAAATGATGTTATCAACTTTGCTTAGCATCATAAATCTATAAAAGTTTTATATCACTTCATTCTATAAAATTTATTTATTTCCTTCATACGCCCAGAATGTCTATCGCAATTAACCATTTACTCATATAAAACATACTTCAGTTGGATTAGATTGAATATTTTGATAAGATGATTTATAATAGGTTGCTAATTTTAAAAATTTATATCATTTAAAAGTTGCAAATGTTTTTTAAAAATTTTATTGTTCGAATTTAATAAGAATTAATAAGAATCAGGATTAATAAGAAACCGGATAAGAGTAGAATAAGAATTAATAAGAAACCGGAATATTTTCAAAACTATTATTTTTGAATTGTCAAATTTATTTCTCTTGTGTTTTTTTGACTTATGGCGTGAATAAGAATTGAATACAAATGTTGCCATTAATATTAAAATGAAAATGCATGCTGCAGAGCTGTCGCAAAATAACAGAGTTAACACAGTGAAATTGTAATAGTTGAGCTAAATCTAGCACAGCTATGAACTTTCAAAATTCGAATGGTTTTAATTCCTTTTCTGCGGTTGGAAATTTTTATTTCTATTTTTAAGAACAGGTTCTAGAAACTTGTAAGTTATTTGTGGGAAATTAAATGCTATTTGTATTATGAATAAATGTTATTTTTGGACAATTGGAAAATTAATTTAAAATAATTTCGAATTTTTTCGATTTTTAATATTTGGAGATAGGTCACTTTAATACAGGATTCAACACAAGTAAAACTGATCTTACATATACAAAATAAGATTAACGATAAGATTTTATCAAACAGGCTCATACTGTAAAATAAAAGTTCTAAAAAAATTAGTATATAAGAAACACCGCAAAATACTGTTGAGGTCAATAACAATTGTGTTTTCTTTAGCACTCAAAACCTACCTTTAATTTTGAATATACCAACACTCCAAGATGAAACGTGAGCATTAGAAATATGAAGAAACTTCAACTAAATAAATTAAAATTATTTTAATAATTTTTAAAATTTTTACAGAATTATTGATTCTTGCCATTTTACTTGTCAGCATCTGTTCATCGTTTGGTGATGTGCATCCTGAATGTGTCGGAAAACCATTTGGCAGTCATGTAAGATACCCCAATGTATGTGAAAAATACATTGTATGTATAAATGGTGGCGTAGAGATGACTTGTCCATCAAAACTTCATTTTAATTTGAATTTGCAAGTTTGTGATTACCCTGAGAGAGCAGGATGTCCATGGTGAAAGAAGCAATGTATCCAAATAAAAGAAAGCTTTGAAATATTAAACAAACAGTCAAACAAATTAAAATATTATACATGAGCTCTGTAAATATCGTACAAATATAAAAATTATGTACCTTAATAAAGTTTGAAGAAAATCGTATTCTATTTATAAACTTAATTTTAATTTAAAAATATTATAAATTTTTTGAGTCTAGCATAAATTTATATTTTAGCTTGATAAATCTGTTTGTAACATCGAGAACATGGTCTAAAATATAGACATGGATATCATATATCTTGCTCAGTGTCAAATGCTGATTCAATTCAGTCTGGTTTAAAATCTGAAATCATAAATATTTTAATTCTATTTAATTTGGGCATGATCAAGACAGCGTTTAAGTTTACTGGCAAACTACTTCAACTGTTCTCAATAACTTCCAAAAACAATAGCTACTTCAAAAATAATTTAATTGTATTGCAAAAAATATTCGAGCTAGTACTAGACTTAAACACGAACAAATATAAAAACTAACATCGATTAATAATCAAGGATATTATTTTAAAACCAACAAAAGTTATAACTACCCAAAATAATTGTCAGTTATATAATAAATTGAAGAAATATGGCGTGACCCACGTGCATACATTGTGCCGTCTACCTAGGCGATAAGTACAACTTGCAACAGTCGCTGCAGTGAGTATATAATTACCAGCATTTCCATTCTTGATCTTTTGCGGGTCACAGCTGCGTGCTCTCTCAGAAGGTGTTCTGAGCTTTTCTCTATCTACAAAACAATTCGACAAGCGCTAACTGTATCCTATAATCTGCATTGGTCTGACAATATTGTTTGTCTCAATTGATTCTTGCTCACCCCAACATTTTTTTAACGTTTTTGTTATAATATCCTAAAAGACATTTAACTTTTCAAGTTTAGAAATTTAGCTATTTCTCTGGCCGTGCCCCATCCAGTTTAGTTCATTGTGAAAATTTCAATTCCACGGGAGAACTTCATTTCTATAAAGGGTACATTCGCTGCTTCACTAGTTTCTCAAACTTAAACCGCATACAAATGTTCATGACATGCATGTCTCTTTGAAAATTCCTCGGGTACTTTTAATAGTTCGAATTCGAAACATTTGATTCTCGGCCTAAATACACCTGGAATTCTGTTCTCACTGGACATTGAGCCAATTGTAAACCATACTTGCTGGAAATAACTTACGGTTTGGCAATTTCCGTATCTCCTAATTTTGGCCGTTTCTTGACGGGTTCTTTTTCCTTCTATTTTCCTCTCTGAGATGCTTTCTCTCGCCTAGCTTTTTTTCTCCCCAATTGCCATGTACTATAAGGGGAGTTCCCGTCTTCTAGAGTTAAGTCATTTGTTTTTTTTTAATTTAAATTGACATGCAGATATGAATTATTCTACATACAAAACAAAATAGATTCCCAAAGAATGTCGTTAAGATAAAAAAAATAATACGCGGGTGAAAAATATAACAACATTCCAAAAAAAAAAAGTTATTCTTAAAATTAAACTGATAATAAAATATTAATTTAATAAAAACAAATGAACATAATACGAATGTGTCATATTGGATGAATAGAAAGATTGCCTTCAATTTTGATAAGATTATTATAAGCGGGCGGTTTTATACTTTCAAATACTCATTTCCTACTAAAATAATCTAACAATTTTAAACTGTTTTATAACTATTAAAGCTATAGTGATTAAGAGCCTAAAGATACCTTCAACAGCAACAGCAAGATAAATAAAATGACCTATAAAATATAAAAATTAAAATTTAATTTTGAAGTAAAATCTCACCTGAACTAAAATTAACTCTCAAAATCCTTGTCATAAATCATTTGAAAAAATTCGTCAAATTTAGTTCAGTTAGTTTTTACATGGCTTACATCAACGTTGAATTGTTGTAATGACTATATCAACCCTAAATTCAGCCCTAAGCCAGAATAATTTATAATATTATAAATGCTTATATTTTGACCAACCATCAGCAAATTTTGTAGGTTATGGGTAAATATGTAGTATGTGAGTATAAGTATGGGCCAATCGAGTTTTTTACATTATCTACTTACAAGAAGAAATGACATTTTCAACAGACTTTATTGATTTGATTGTTTTGTTTTGACAATAATAATAAATTTGTATAGAATTTTGTATACCTATATCTATATTATCTTTGACAGAGCTCTTAAAATTTTTTTGAAAAATTTGAATAGTTGTAATCGAAAATATTTTTTCCTTGCAAGTATAATGGGCCGAATTTCGCACCTTGCTGACAGCTATTTTACACCACCATTTCTAAAATCTTCGTAATCTTTATAATATAATCTCCAAAAATATTCATGCTGCAATTTGAAATTCAATATAAACTATTTAAGAAAAAATTGGCAGTCATTGAAAAAATTAAGGTAAACAAACAATGTTTGTATACGTAATTCATTCCATACAAAAATTCTTAAAAAAATCTTAAAAATTTTAAAATTTCAATCAAAATCAAATAGTATTAAATATAGTTAATATTTAATTGTAATTACAATATGAGAAGAAAATAATAGTACAGGAGTACAGGATAATCGACCAAACACAATCCATATGCATATAAAAGAAAACATAGCAACTAAAAAATTTTTAATCCACTTAAAAATCGTCTAACGAACATTAATCCTTATTATGTGTGTATGTATAGTATAATTTGGTGTACGTACATATGTACCTTACATTTATATCTAAAAATAAAAATAATCTCACTAGTTTGAACACATACAACTATCACATATATATTTCATTACATTTTATATTTTATACATATGTACTTGTATATACGAGTATGTAATAATCGTATATGCCTATCTATATATGTAAAACGAATATTATCTACATTATTCTATTTATTAACACGAATATTAAATGTAGGCATGTACCTATAATAAACAAACTTGAAATATATATGTATGTGATAATAAATTTAAGTGTGAGGTCAAATACTAGGCAATGAAATGAAATTCGAACACACGTGAATCAAATATTTTGCCTATAATACACGAATCAAAACCTATAAAATAAAAAGCCCAATAATAAAATTGAAAATTCGCTTTGTTAATTTTTAGATTACTAGTGAAAAAATTTAGAATTGATTAAAAATTTCATACAAAATTTATCTGAAATAAGTAAAAATTTTCTAATTATTATTAAATTTTTTTTTTTTTTGATTTATAATTTCCTGGAACCGATTTTGAGTTATTAACACTTCTAACACTTAAAATTTTACAATTTAATTAAATTTTAATTATAAAATATGAAATTCCAGCGTATATCGATGGTATATCCCCTACCTACATTATATACTTATGGGTCAGTATAGTTATACTTAAATTTGAACACATTATAAGCGCAACTTTCAATTCTTGACATGTATAAAAATAATTACAATAAATTAACAAAATAAAATAGCGGTAATCTCTGACAATTTTTCATATAAATTAAAGCTAAATATGTATTCCTTGGGAACTAAACAAAGAATTCAAGAAGAAACGAATAAAAGAAAATAGACAAAATTGTAAATTTTCCTATTAAAATTATTCGTACCATATGAAAAAAACAATAATCGCCATACATTCCCTTTCCAAAAATTATGCTAATACAATACGAAAACATAAACATACTTGATATTGAAATGCTAGTTAAAAAGCAAAAAAAATGCTAAATAAATTACTATTTTACAAAATTATTCAGAAATGTAATTAAGTGCAATATAATGTCCGAATAAAAAATTTAAAGTCACAAATTTGGATTTTTACTAGATTTTGAAAAACAGTTTTCTAGAAAAATTATATTCAAGTGAAATTCCTGCTCTTTGATCTACGCTTAAAATTTTTTACTTAAACAATAACCATGAAATTCATATACTTTCAGTTCAAAAGTACCAGTAATATGTGATTGCCATTGAATGATGCTTGTATTACTAAAATACAATGATTACTAAAATACAATGCAGTATTACTGAAATTTCCAAATCAAGAATTATTTTCAGGAATATGAGTAGAATTTAAATTAAATATTTTCTGAAACTTAAATATTAAAACTAGTCGATTTTTACAGTATGTGAAATAAATTTTTGAAAAATTCGAGTACGTTGTTCAGTATGTTTAGAATGCTAATTAAAAAATAATGGGAATATTTGTTTTAGGGGTAAAAATGTTATACCGTCGATTTTTATTTAAAAATTATTCTGATATACTAATATTTAAATCACAATTTAATGAAAATAATTAATAACAAAATTTAATATCTTAATAAAATTATCAAGCAAAATATTTTATAAAGTTTTGCAAATAAATTTACTATTTCTCATTTCGTTTTCCCAACACAGTAATTTACCTACATTTTTCTATATAAACATATTATTATTATTATGTACAAATAAAATTTTAAATTTTCAAGTAGAAATTAGAAAATAAATAACAGTAATAATATAATATTGTTATTTATTATATTTGACATACACACGACTATAATATTATAGTACAAGTATATAAAATTAATGTCAAAATTTTTTAGTATAAGTACATGCATATGTCAAAAATAAATTTTATTTTTTTTTCTAATAATTAACAATTACTGCTAAAATTTTTATTTAAAAATTTAATGTACAAGGTATCCAAAAGTTGTACATAAAATTTTCTTAAAACTACTAATCAAAATTAATCTGCTTACAATAAAATTTTAAGAAAAAATAAGAGTTGCTTCCTTGTTCATTAAGGACCCTCTTCGCATTATAACGAATAACGAATGTTCTTGAATAAAAGGCTTAATAGTTTGATGATCACCAGTTTTACCTGCATAACATATATTAAATCTACATGATAAGTCAAAATCGAAACTAATAGCACTTAAGCAACACTTTTATATTTGTATAACAGTTTGTATAACAGTTTTATATAACTGTTATATTTGTCCAATCTTCTCCGATTAGACAAGAAATATAAATTCTTCTATATTTAAAACTCTTCGCCTGGATTTTTCATTTATTTCTCTGTCGATTTTCTTTTTAAATAAAAAAACATGTGCTTAGATTCCCGTGTCAAGCATAGTAAATGACATACACTGGACAATATTATAGTATATAAGGGCATAAAAAGGTACTACAAATATTCATAATGTGTGCTTTCAAGTGCAGTCGATAATAGATAAGTGCAACTCTTCAGGACGGAAAAACTCATTTCCCGTGAATTGGCAAATAGCTTTTATGTATCCTTAAGTAAAATTGTTAGCTTTTATTGTTAAGGTTTAAAACTTAATGATGCTCGACTGATGTTTTTAAGTACATTTATATGGATGATATGACTCAAATGAAAAGTTTGTTTTACACTCAATATCAAAATTCATTCAAATTGCTATTTGAGATCCCAAATTTAGATTTTCAAAAGTTTTAATTTTAAAAAGTTTTCGTTTCTATACACGCGTGTTCGCATGGAATGGGACACGTGAATTTGAACTGTGATTGCTTATTCGTTCTCGACTGTTATTATACAGGTACATAAGTATTATAGTAAATATGACAAATCAATAAAATTGTATATTTTACTATTAATTTTCTAGAGACAGAGAAAAAAAACACATAGTTACCATTTTTTATTACTGTCATATATAATTTGTAAATAAATAAATATATACCTACATACTTAGGTACAAATTTATTGTAACGTGTATTAATATTATATATATTTGTATAATTGTACACGAGATTAAGTGAAACTAAAGGAAAATAACAAAGCAGACGAACTAATACATCATTTTATAGTAAATTTTTTTTTTTTGTTAACAATCAGTAGTGCTTTTGTTCCGAGAAGAGAGAGAATTAATATAATATTGTCAGCTATAGGAATGTGTTGTTATAATAAAAAGAAAATTCCAATATCATTTTGCAAATAATTTTGACAATAGCTATAATCAATATTAACGATAAGCCAAGGACTTCGACGACAATATGCTCATATTTGCAGTCAAATTATTGCAAAAATAAAAATATTAAGCAAAAATAAAAAAAAAATTTTAGTTTATTAATAAAAACCAAAAGAATAAAAATATTTTAATATTATTTGGAAAATATTTCAATTTAATAAAAATAATTTTATATAGAGTGTGAATAAAATAGCAAAAAAAAATTTATTTATAAAAAAATCAAAATAAATAAATATTATTAAAATATATTTTAATTTTAACCTTATAACAAAATAATATTATAATAATATTATTCTAACAATAATAATATAATAAAAGTGGGAAAATACACGCTAGCACAATGTATCAAGTTGAAACGGATTCAGAGGATGATTACGAATGTTTGTGTGAGTATATCTATTCTATTTTATATTTAAGCTAAAAATTATAAATTTTTACGCATATTAATCGATAAAATACAGTAAAATATTTGAGATATTAAACTAGTTATAAGGGCCAGGATTAAAATTCATTATCGAAAATTTCGCTAATGAATTCTGATCCTGGAATATTCTGAGAAAAGACATCTATTATACATACGAGTATCATAAAATTTCTATCACGATATTTTGGACAGTAGCACTCAAATACTATAAATTACATTAAATCCCCAATGAATTGTAAACTGAAAACCTCAATTTCAGAAGAAAATTAAAATTTGCTTTCTAATCCGAAAATTTACCCTTAATTTTTTTTACAGGAAAATTCTTTATATTGAAAATGTTATAAAATTTTTTCGGCAAAAACCTGAATATTTTTAGGATATTAGCCATTAGGAGCAATCATATAATAATTTCTTCCATTATAACTTCCATTCTTTCAATAGTATAAAATTCAAATATTTTTTTTGTATTATGGAATTTTCATTATTATTTTCATTACTAGTTTACTACTAGAAAATTGAAAAATATAAAATTTACATGAGTTTCATAAGAATCCGGAAAAACCTACAATGTTACTTTATTTATAAAGGTCAAAATAAAATAAAAAATATACCGAAACACATTTAAATACAAAGAAACGTACATAAATATATGAATTTCTTGTAATAGAAATTATATTCAACTTTTACTAGTTTTACTGTATAAATTTCAAATTAAAAGGATTCGTCATTGATATTCTGGCAAAATGATATTTTTATTACTCATATATGCTGCAAATGATTGATTTACGGAAAAAAATTATTTGAAAATCAAAGCAATTTTTTACTTCAAATATTAGTTATAATTCGAACGCATAATAAAATAGATTATAAATTTTATATTGCATACTTTTAGGAAAATATGCGTTTCCGTTTTTCGGATTAAATTAAACGGCAAAAATTATTGTGATATTTAATAATTTCAAAAAGACATTTTGTTTTTGCAAAAAAAATCACAAAATCGGAAATTTGTTAAAAAATTTTAATTTATAAAAGTAGAATTAAAAATTTAATATGGAAATTGAAATAACAGGCTCATTTCAAAAAGTTGAATTTGAAATTTCAGGTAAAAAAATTACCTATATGAAAAATCATTAAAGGTTTTAATTTTAACCTTCATTAAATAAAATAGTGAACGATTTGAATGCTTGATTTATTACTTGCATTAATGATATCAAAATAGGTCTATCATTGCATACATTCAGAATGCAATTTATTTGTTTATTACCGACTGCATTGCACACAACAAGGGAGACAACAAATTATATTGTGGCAAAGCATATCGAATTTTCGATGGAAACATACTTCTCCACAGTAGGAAAGCGTAAATAAATATTTTTTAGGGAGATGTTCGTCTGTGTGTGGTCGTGCGTGACTTAAGTTCGGCTGAACCAATTTTGATGAAATTTTATGTGTGAGTTTATTTGGGCTATGTCTCGACAATAAATGTCTTGACAGTAAATGTTTGGACAGTAAATGTCTCGACAGTAAAAGCCTCAAGAGTAAATGTCTTCATAAAAAAGTAAGTGTCTTTAAAGAAAATGTCTTGACAGTAATTATTTTGATAGTAATTCTTTAAATCTTATTCAGCGAAACTCTACTAACAGTCAAACCTGCACTTTGCTAAGGATGTTAATTATTTAAAAGATATTTAATAAAATTCTGCAACATTTTCGATAGACTAGACAAAACATATTGCCGTCGGTTATGTGCCAATCACATCAGTTTTTTTTTTCTCTGTAATACGCAACAAAAACCTCAACCTGTTACATGTATGTATTTAATATTTCAAGAAAAATCATTTACCTAATAGTCGAATTCGGAATTCGTCGAATTCCTTTGAAATTTTGTAACTTTTTGAAAATGACTATTGCGTGTGTTAAAATCAAATTTTTAATGTAATTATTATGTATTAGGAAAAAACGAATTACAAAATAGCTAATAACCTATATAACAGAATTAAAGAAATTACTTGTTTTAAAGCGGTCATGGGGCCAGTGGAAAACACACACATACATAGTCATGTTATATGAGAATATATCAACATGCTCACCATTGACATTGAGAATTAAAGAATATATAAAAAAAAACACAAAAAATTAATATAAAAATCAATTTAAAAATTGAAGAGCATTAACAATTAAATCCGTTCTAAATCTCAATTGCGACGATTATGCTGAATTCAAAATTTATATTCAATATCAGGTTCGACATACTTTCTAAAAATTTATCATTAATTTTTTCTGATAGGTCAATCTCATTTCATAATCTCATTTTAAAATAAAATAACAAATGGATAATCCAACAAAAAACATGTGAAAAAGATTAAGAAAAGGATTAAGAAAATCAGGTTAATTAATTTTGAAAAATGACGTCATTTGAAATGACATCAACAAAAGGCCTAAAATTTTACTGTGAAATTTGGCGAAAAAAATGTTGAATTTTTTATAAAATCAACTAAAAATTTGTTGAATAAATGGTTTACTCGAATCATTAACAATAATTTCATGATTTGAAATCATTAAAAAACTTTTCAAATTTTACTTTAATATTATTTTAATAATAAAATTTATTAATTACCCATAATTGTTATTTATTGTGTTCTTAATTTCATCTTAGTCTTAAGAATTATAAAACAATTGATTTTGCAAATTTTAATCACGCAAATTTCATTTCCATTAATTTTAAAGGCAAAATTCTTAATTTGGCACATACCATCCATAAATCTACAAAATGTTAAAGGAAATTTAAAAAATTACAAAATTTTATACAAATAGTTGGTATTGAATTAACAAAGTTCGACATGTAATCGGCTTTATTGAATAAATGTTCTTCAATATCATGTTTGAATTAATTTTATTAATGAATTTTGATAGAATTTATAACAATTTCGAAAATAACTAATCGAAGGTCTTTGAACATTTTAATCGTTTCTGAATTTGCTATTGCGGCAATAAATTTTAAATTTACAAGAAACTTTCAATGATCCATTATTTTTCCTGCACTACATATCCACTTTATCCAAGATAATTTCGTTTTCTTATGGCAACAATAATAGCATTCTTTTATAAATAAAATATTTTACCCCTATTCCTACTCTTATATTAATTTGAAAATCTATAAAGTTAAGTAATCGCATTGCCTTGTTAATAAATTTATATATCTGTATATGCTTTCGTGAATTTCACTTCTGTGACTCTTTTATTACACTTAAATTATCTATTGTTTGTGCCTGATCTATTTCGTACAAGTGTTTCGCAACATTACATAAAAAAGTTTCATGAATTCTTGGCCAGTTTATCGGTTTTACATCAACTCCGCGAAAATTACAGAACTGCGCGAAAAAAACCAGACCGTTTTTGAATCTGTAATTTTTCATTGCAATTGGGAGTTGATATTAAGTTTTGCCAGCCAGCTGCTATAGTTGTTCTGTTTATATAAAGTTATCATACTTTCGCTTTTCAATTTTATTCTTAATTGCTGTGTTCAATATGGATTTTGCTTCAGTTTTTGTGTCTTCTTTTTCATTCAGTGTGGCCATACTATTCTTTACATTATATTTCTTGGAATAGTTCGAATCTCTTTGGAATTTTGGATGCCTCTTTGTGTACTGATCTTATTTCAAACATTAAATTAATTATGACTCTTGGAACATATTATATATTTCGTTTAAATATTTCAGCAGGAATGTCATTAATTCCTTATCTTTAAATAATTGTGCTTGTAAATAAATTTTATGCATATAATATATAGAGCTTGAAATATATTCAGTAAACCAAAAAGGGATCATCATTAAACTAACCAAACAAAACAAATTTTTTAAAGCAGTTCCAAAATAATATTTTTACCTTTTTCAGTCCTAAAACCAGTTAATGGTTACAATATGGCAGAGAGAATAAAACAAGCAAATGAAGAACTATTTGCATCTCCTGGTCCTAAATCACCTTGTGTTTTGCCAAGAAGAGTAAGTATATTACAAAATATTTATTTGAAACGTGTATAAAACAATCAAAACAAACAATTTACCACTGTTGATAGAAAAGAAACCTTTCAAAATAGAAAAATATAGATGACAATGTAATTTGATGTCATACTTTTATACACGTTGCGTTTTGTCAACAATATTCTATTTATAGTAACTTTTGATTTCTAAATCAAATCTAATATCGTTAATTAACAATAGCAATTGTGTAAATTACGCTTTACATTAAATAAAATCATGTTTACCTAACACGATTCTTGTCTCAAAAGTTTTAATTCTAATCTTCTTATATATACGATATAATTTTGCATACTTTTAGGTTAAATAAATTTAGAAATTTTTATTTATTTCTTATTATGTGTAATTCAATCATAATCTTATTTACATACACACACACATGACACATTATGTTGTTTCCAATTTAATTAAAATTTTTTAATTTTTGTGTTGTTATCTTAGGTAACCTTTCGAAGGGTACTCGAAGATTATGACGATGGTGATGATAATATTAGTATTGTTAGTGTTGATAGTATTGATGGAACAAATACCAATACAAATCATGAAGTTAAAAAGAAAATCTTAAATCATATACCAGAAATTGAAGAAGAAGAAAAACAAGAAACAATAACTGAATCAGAAACTGAAGAAATTGTTGAAGAAATTATTGAAATTAGTTTAAATACTGATAATAATGAAAATTCAAATGAAACAAATCAATTACAAAATAAAGAAGAAGCTTCAACTTTAGAAACTAATGATGATATTGATAAATTAAATAATAAGAATTTAATGGAAACGAATAGACCTAAATCACCAACATCACAATCGACAACAATCATTGAAGAAGAAATTGAAACATCAATAAAAATTCAAGAAATTCCTGCCACTCCACCAAGTGTAACTATTGATAAAACAAGTCCTTCATCATCGTTATCAACATCATCATCTGATGATGATGATTTATCAGTAATTGTTGCATCATATATTCCAGAAGATTTTGAAATTGTTCAAGAAAAATCAACTGATGAAAGTGATGAAAAATCAAAGAAAACAAAGAAATTTTCATTTCGTAAGAAAAAGAAAACAGAAACTGAAACAAAATCAGCTGATAAAAATAATAAGAAACAAAAAAATAATAAAAATTCAACAACAACAACAACTTCGACAACAACCACAACAAGTGAAACAGAAGATGATTTAAAATTTTATTACAAAACTTGTTGTGAATATAAAAATTCTGTAGATGCAAATGCATCATTACCAAAATATACTGGTTACTTATCCGAATATGGTTTAAGTAAAGAACAATTGCAAAAACGAAATATAAATATGGAAAAACAAAAGAAAATTATTTTAGAGAAAAATTTGAAAGCAACTGAATGTCAAATACAAAAAATGGAGGACAATGAACGAGCATTTACAAGATGGTTAAAAAATAAAATGAGATTTCCAGTTAATAAAACAAAAAATATGTTTGATTTTCATCAAAATAAAAATGCAAAGAAGGCTAAAAGTTAAAAAGAAAATTAAAACCTTAAAAAATAATTTAACTAAAACGCGCAGTAAAAATTTCAATTATACATACACATGTATACATATACATACGTAAATTTTTTTTTGTAAACGTATGTGTAATATTATGTATGTGATACAAGAACTAATACATATCTTCATAATTATTTACGCAATATCTCTATAAAATTGAAATATTTGCAAGACATGCCATAAATTTATAATACATACTTACATACATACTTATATTAGAATCATCCCATCGGAAGATGTAAAAAGACAAACATTTAATTTCAAAATTTAAAAAAAAATTTCTAAAACTTATTTGTAAAATTGCATGTATATAACAATATTGTGTATATCTTATAATTATTAATGGATTTAATTCTATAGAAAATAAAAATTATTACAATAAAAAAATTAAATTCTCAATTACACAGTTTTAGAAAACTCCTGCCATACATACTTACCTCCCTGCAGAATATAACCAGAAAGTTAAATGTCGACAAAATTTCGATATTGCGTGTATCTTAGTACTTGAAATTTAAGGGTTCAACGAATTTATTGCGTATTGAGGAACGTACCTAAAAAATAAAATCATTGAACTATATGTGAAACCCGTAACTCACACACACCTGAAATAACGTCTTATTTAGTTACTAAACCAATTTTTAACTAATAGAGTACAGAAAACTTTGGAAATTTTTAGGCACTATGTAAAATTTTATAAAATAGTTTTTATAAATTCTTAATACATCAGATTACAATTGGATATTGCTACAAAAACTATGAACTACATTAGATGATTCTAATTGAAAGCCTTCATGCCCTTTTAAGAAAATAATTTTAATACCAACATACAAATATTTACAAAATTTTAACCGTGATAAAGAAATTTACAAAATATTTTTTTTTTTTTAAATTAATATTTAGATGGTAGGTAATTTACAAGAATAACAGAAAATATTCTTCAAATTACTTCTTTTTTCCATTTTTTTCCCAATTTGTTTATTCATACAATTTTCTACCATTACACGAATATAAATAATCTTTTGGTAATCCTGGTTTTGTACAAAATTGTTTTTCCTGATCGAATATTAAACCAGGTTCACAATCAATTATACGTGCTTTTTTCTCAAAACAAAGATAAAATTTTGTTTTATCAGGATGTGGTAACATATATCCATCATCATATTTAGCACAAATATCTACTGGTACATTACATGGTCCAGATATTTGATCAGCTGGTTTACATGTACTATCTGTTGAATCAAAATATAATAAAGGTGGACATTCTGTTAATACTGGATTATGTTGATGACATAAATAAAATTTAGCACAATCTTTATGTGCAAATTTATAACCATCATCATGATTTAAACATATTTCTTTTAATGAACATTTTCCAGAAGGAATCTCTGCTGGTAATACACAATTATTTGTTGATGAATCGAAATGTAAACCGTGTAAGCAATATTTTAATAATGGTTCACCTAATATACATAAATAAAATATTGAACAACTTGATTGATCTGGAAATTGATCACCATCTTCTGCTACACTACAATCTGGTACCTGTTGTCAAAACAAAAAAACTTATTAGTAAATTATGTAATAATATGTTATTCAATTAAATTAAATTGTAATTTATTTACACATTATACAAATGAAAAATGAACTGTTGTATACAATACAAGGCTAATAGGTACATAGGTTGTTGCCAATATTTAAGAATCAATAATATTTTTGCTGGCATTAGTTGAAAATCGATTCTTGCGTTGTTATGTTTGGGAAAAATTTCGATATTTAAATAAAAATCGTCAAAAATTTCGATACATGCAAATTTTAAAATATTTCGATATTTCTACTCTATTAAGGTTGGTTGAGTGGGTTAATGATAAGTATTATTATTGATTTTTACTTAATAATAGCAATTTTGGTATTAGTCCTATAAAATAGTGTAAATTACATACTAAATCCGTTTCTGAATCCTATATCTTGTTTGCGTTCAAAATACCTTTAATTCCTTTTTACCAAAATAAATAATTATTTAAATTAATTATTATCACAATTTTGGAGTTCAAAATTCGACAATTTCGATAAGTGTTATGTTTGAATAGATACGTCAATCAAAATATTGGTTTTTTATTGACAACAATAATATTATTTCACATAAACTTAATTAATGAATTGTGACGATCAATAATATAGTATTGTAATACTTTAATAATTAAAAGGTGATTTCCTAATTATAAGATTTTAAAAAAACGTATGAAAGAAAAATTCAATTTCATTGTTGTGATTTAGTTTTTAAATGAAATTTCAAATATTATATTGAACACAACCGGTTTCACTTGACAAGTATTCGACTTTTAATTTCAATTTAGAGGATGATCGATATAAACAATAAATTTACGACACATGTAAATCTTAGGATTCAAATCCAAACCGTAGAAAAGTACTCCAAGAGTTTTTTTGTGCCCTTCAAAGCACGGGGAAGAAGCTAATCGAGATGGGAAATCCAGACCAGAAATATGGTCCAACTGAAAAGGATGAGCTAGGTGGATATTGTTCTGTGCTATCCTTGCCTATAGGAGAACCGCTTGAGACTGAGATGGTTCGAAGCGGGCTTTGTGACGTGTTCCGAGGTCTCACAAGACCGCGCAGGGGCAATACTATAATTCTACCGATTGAGGTGAAAAGGGTCGAAAGGCCCCGGTCTTTCAGGGAAAAAAATCACAAGATCTTGACAGCCAATAGATATATATCCATATTGCAGAACTAATAACTCACTAACTTTATCAATTTTTATTTAAGCTAACACTCTAGTAAACCACGGATCGAAAATAGAAATTGTACAACAAAAAAACACCCATAATAATATTAATAATAATACTGATTGAAAATATTGTGACATTTAGTGAACGAAATATTAAAACTAAAAACTATGAGAATTTTACATATTGTGAACTTTCTCATTTCGTACTTATTACAAACATTCATATTTCTAACAAACATAATATCCAAAAACACTAATTAAATAAACACTTTAATTAATTAATGATGATTTTAATCCAAAATTATAGCTATGTATTTCACCTGAGTGCCAACATAAGTGAAGCAAAATGCTAAAGCAATAAAATTAAAGATTATTTTCATAATTTTTTTTTATTACTTTTTGTCTAACCCGCGTTTTTTTTTTATAAGTATACAACCGAATTATTATTAAACGACTGGGATTTAATTCTTGATGTTTATAGATTTTTGTTACAAAAAATTTATTTCGAACTCTTTATATTTTTACGCCGCTTTTCATTTATACCAAAGTTATCAAAAATAAAGAAAATGATTAAAAAATAAAAATGTTTCTGGCTTATTTGACAAATTGTCTTTCATAATTAAAACTTTTGTGTAAAAAAATTATCAGGATGATGAAAAAAACAACGAAAATTCAGAATAAAATTGTAGATATGTGTAAACAAATTTTCCCATTTGAACTTATAAACTCTATATCTTCTAATTACACAATCAAATTTAAAAATACAGCTATATATGTATGAAATCGTTGAAAATATTTTAATTAAAATATTGATAAATTTAAGAAATGCGATAGAATAAATAGATATGTGCACAAACAAATAAACTTTATCAAATTTCTGACTAATAAATTTTGAAGCTAAAACTACAGTAATGCTAAAATTATGTGATCATTAATATGAAAAGTTACGGCAATGTTTTAGGAGAACAAATATAATTTTCGAATTATTTTTCATAGAACAAATAAATTTTTCGCAATTTCCTGGATATGGAAAATCCTCCAAACTGAATTAAACCTTCCGTTTTCTGATCGGATGCTCTTTCAGATGAGCCTTGGAGATAAGAAGAAATTGCTTTTTTTTAAGTTTATGATTAATTAATAACTAAAATTGATTAATTCATTTTCGCCTCTCATTCTTTAAACTTAACTTGAAGTTGGGAGCTGCTGTCATACGCGACACAATCAGGGTTTTACATGCCCTTATTGACTTACTTTTTGCCTTGCTCGTAGGAGGGGGAGGTGCTGGGTGGCTTTGCTTTAACGGTAGTGGAGTTATGGTCTTCTGGTCCTCACAAGCTAAGTGAGTTCATCAGCAGGGTGGGTGTCGAGTGTGTGTTGTAGGGCAAGCCCTGCACTCGGATGGCGGCGCACAATAGATCCTTATACGTGGTCGCGGTGCACTGTTGCCCCCGTTGTACAAATCTACAAATCTACTTTTTGCCTTCATTTTTTTCTTGTCACTCACAAAAAAAAATGCGGTATCGTAACTCTATTCCGTGTGATAAAAAAAAATGAGACGGTGTTTTGAAATGGCGGTCATTTTTAAATGAAATTCACATTTACGAGTATGTTTACATTATTTTTGTAAATTTTTAAGAATCATAAATGAAGAATTCGAATCAAAACAAAATTTATGAACAATATTCTTCAATAGCAAATTTGTTTTTGACAAATCAGATGAAGAAAGGAATATTGCAACTATTGTAATTGAAAAATGGTAGCTTTTCACATTTTAATATTAATGCGTTGATAATGCGTTTAGTAAGTATAAAAAATTTGTGACTTTTAATATGCTAATTTCAAAATACAATTATGTTTGTGATTAAAGAATGAAAATAAGAAATAATAGTCGCTCCCGCTTTGAAATTTTTCAAAGCCCATCAACGAATTTCCTTCCATAAAATTTACTAGCACCTCAAATTTCTCTTGTCCTTTTCGTGACAGTGTATGCTATCATCACATTAAATGAACTTATCTTTGCCGATCCGTACTCATTTTTTACATCTAATATTATAACACGTCTTGATATATTCCAATAAAAAAGCATAAGCCTCGAAGACTATATAAATTTTTGACTATTTTCATATTATTCTTACGAGTATTTTTTAATTACAGATATAAAAACGATAACGATCTGTTATTACAATGTGTGAAATTTCTGAAACTGATCACATATAAACGTATTCAATAATGATTTTGCTAGTCAGAAGTCAAGCATATCTAATTTTGCTCATGGATTACTAATGTATTAGAATGATAATTCACAATTTATCCCGCATACAGCTAGTCTTTTTTATCTTAACATTTTTTTTTTTATCGAAATCAATGTATAGGTAAAAAAATTTTGCCATACTCAATATGAAATTATGAAAAGTTTTTCTATAATTTAAATACTAATCTAACTAAGATTCAAATGACGAAATCACATAAGTATGCTTTTTAAATTGCTAGACAGGATTCTAAAACCGTTTCGTAAATTTCATATATACAAAGAAAGTTTTCAAAAGCATTAATTATTCCACTATAAAAATATCATTAATCACGATTATTATTTAATCAACGATAAATATTTTAACTATCAAGAAGACAGGAAGTTTAATTTAGATCAAGTAAAATCATAATGTTTATAATATCTAATTAATACACTTGATATACATTATTCAAAAACATTAATATTCAACTATGATTAGTTTATAGCAGCAGGAAATTTCATATAAATTCATAAACGAGATAATCAAAAATTTAAAACAGCAAAAAAAAATTATAATTTTGGTAATTACAAGCAAACAAAATTATATCAAAATGAAGATTACGTTTAATAGGTGATAATACTTGATAAATAAAAAGGAGCACCGAAAATTTCATATAAAGCAGAGTTTAGATATAGCCGCAACTTCAGTCGAATTTTCGAATCCAATACGGATTATCGGAAATAATTTTAAAACGAATTAAACGAAAGAATCATAATGAAAGGTAAAGAAAATTAATTGAAATAATTAAATATCATTAATTATTTAAACAATTTTACAGCGCTTACAGTTATATTTGTAATTTTTGTGATTGAAAATATAAGCAACACATATGCTTACTCACATAAAAAAGATAATTTAATTGATAATGAATTAAACAAAACTTTACATAAGGTACGTCATGTATATCATATTACAACAAATATTTATATTAATGGGAATGATGCTGATATAAATTTTTTAAAACCTATAAAGCATCCAAATTGCCCCGTCAATGATGATCCAATGAAACCTGTTCATTTACCTTTCCCCGGATATTGTGGTAAATTTTTCAAATGTGCAGCTGGATATGCATATCCAATGAATTGTCCATTAGGTTTAGAATGGAGCATTGAATTAGATCGATGCGATTATCCGGAAATAGCCAAATGTGATCCTGAAGCGACTACAACTATAAAAACCACAAGAAATCCACATTCTACTACTAAAATCGAAAAACCAGAAAAACATCCAAATTGCCCAGTTGATGAAGATCCTGCATACCCAACTCATTTACCTTATCCAGGGAATTGTGGAAAATTCTATAAATGTGCTAACGGATATGCACATCCAATGGATTGTCCAGCAGGTTTAGAATGGAGTATTCGATTAAATCGATGTGAGTACCCTGAAATAGCAATGTGTAATCCATATGCTACTACCACTTTGAGAACTACAGAAAATCCAAAGCCTACAACAGATCCAATTGAAACTACAACCTCCGATCATGAAGAGCCACATAAACATCCCAACTGTCCAGTTGATGAAAATCCTGCAAACCCTACTCATTTACCATATCCAGGAAATTGTGGAAAATTTTATAAATGTGATCACGGATATGCACATCCAATGGATTGCCCAGCGGGATTGGAATGGAGCATTGAGTTAGATCGATGTGACTACCCTGAAATAGCAATGTGCGAACCATATGCCACCACTTTGAGAACTACAGGAAATCCAAAACCTACAACAGATCCAATTGAAACTACAACTTCCGAGAATGAAAAACCACATAAGCATCCAAACTGTCCAATTGATGAAAATCCTGCAAACCCTACTCATTTACCATATCCCGGAAATTGCGGAAAATTTTATAAATGTGATCACGGATATGCACACCCAATGGATTGCCCAGCAGGGTTGGAATGGAGCATTGAGTTAGATCGATGTGATTACCCTGAAATAGCAATGTGTGATCCATATGCTACTACCACTTTGAGAACTACAGAAAATCCAAAACCTACAACAGATCCAATTGAAACTACAACTTCCGAGAATGAAAAACCACATAAGCATCCAAACTGTCCAGTTGATGAAAATCCCGCAAATCCTACTCACTTACCATATCCAGGAAATTGCGGAAAGTTTTACAAATGTGATCATGGATACGCACATCCAATGGACTGTCCAGCAGGCTTAGAATGGAGTATTGAGCTAGATCGATGTGACTATCCTGAAATAGCAATGTGTGATCCATATGCTACTACCACTTTGAGAACTACAGATAACCCAAAGCCTACAACAGATCCAATTGAAACTACAACTTCCGAGAATGAAAAACCACATAAGCATCCAAACTGTCCAGTTGATGAAAATCCCGCAAATCCTACTCACTTACCATATCCAGGAAATTGCGGAAAGTTTTACAAATGTGATCATGGATACGCACATCCAATGGACTGTCCAGCGGGCTTAGAATGGAGTATTGAGCTAGATCGATGTGACTATCCTGAAATAGCAATGTGTGATCCATATGCTACTACCACTTTGAGAACTACAGAAAATCCAAAACCTACAACAGATCCAATTGAAACTACAACTTCCGAGAATGAAAAACCACATAAGCATCCAAACTGTCCAGTTGATGAAAATCCCGCAAATCCTACTCACTTACCATATCCAGGAAATTGCGGAAAGTTTTACAAATGTGATCGTGGATACGCACATCCAATGGACTGTCCAACAGGCTTAGAATGGAGTATTGAGCTAGATCGATGTGACTATCCTGAAATAGCAATGTGTGATCCATATGCTACTACCACTTTAAGAACTACAGGAAATCCAAAACCTACAACAGATCCAATTGAAACTACAACTTCCGAGAATGAAAAACCACATAAGCATCCAAACTGTCCAGTTGATGAAAATCCTGCAAACCCTACTCATTTACCATATCCAGGAAATTGCGGAAAGTTTTACAAATGTGATCGTGGATACGCACATCCAATGGACTGTCCAGCAGGCTTAGAATGGAGTATTGCCTTAGATCGTTGTGATTATCCTGAAATAGCTAAATGTGATCCTTATATAACAACAACATTAAGACCCTCTACACAACAAACTCATCGTACAGATTCTTCAACACTTTATCCAGATGAAGATAAACCTTTCAGGCATCCAGCATGTCCAATATTTATTGATCCTGAACAAGAGAAACATTATATAATATATTTACCATATCCTGGTAGATGTAACAAATATTTTAAATGTGCACAAGGTTACGCTATTCCAAGAAATTGTCCGAGTGGTCTTCATTGGAGCATAAAACATTCTCGTTGTGAGTGGCCAAACAAAGCTAATTGTACGGAAAGTGCTCGATTTTTCTATCATTCATTCTGATGTAGTTGTTTTCATAAAAGTTTAATAAATAATTTAATTAAGTAATTAATTTATGTATTTATTACATGCGACCATTCAATTTATCATATTATTTAAAAAACTTAATTGCTATAGCTGTGTTTATAAGAATATAGCATAATTTTTAAAATTACTAATTTGTTTATAACTTTCAAATAACAGTTATTAAATAGATAATGTGTATTAAGTTCTTCATGATTCATAAATAATAAAATGATTCAAATGACAATTGATATTTAATCAAAACATTCGATTTTAAAATATCTATTGTCTCATAACTGACGTATTAAACTCAAGTGAATTAATTCTAATTTAAGTAGGTACACTTCACACATTTTATAAATTTAATTATTAAATTAGAGTATGAAAAAATTGCGAATAGACTGTAGTCGTTGCATCTTGAAATGAAAAGCATGCTTCCCGACAATACTTGTATTGAAAAATTTCTAGATAATATACACACATCTGTGGAATATCCTCAAAGAATACATTCAATGAGAAATTATTTTTACGTTCTGTACTTGTTATCATATCTTGTATATTATATTGGCCGAAAAAATTACACAATTTGACGTCTCTGTATATGTTGTTTAATTTAGGGATTCATGCAGTCTCTTCTTTATATCTATGAATCGTTATCAGCTTTTCAAGTATAAGATTGAAAATATTTATTCTCTCCATATAGAATAACACAAAATACTTATGCATTTACTTAATCCAATACAATAAGAAATGATTATTTAAATCTATATAATTTTAAACACATTTTTTCCGGAAAAAAATTCTTATATACAAATACAAATAGTTCTTTAAAAATTCCAGTTAAAAATATTAAAATCGCCGTCGGAATTTATATAGGACTTTCAATATTTTTCTGAGAAAACGTATTTTCAATTAGTGACGAGTTATTTTTCAAGCAGATTTTAAGCCGATATTAAAATGAAAAATCTGCTGCATTTTTTACTGAGTTCCATACATTCAAAAATGTATGATTATATGAATATAACAATTACATTAAACATCTATAGTTAGATTTGTGTATATTGTGTATAATAGATAAATATTCGATATTGCAACAACATTGTTATTAATTACGATATTAATGTCCACTTATCGGCTATCGTTTTTATAATTGGAGAATAATAAAAGAAATATCTATTACAAAAGGCATTTTCCATATAAATAATTAAGATAAAAAATTTATTTATATTTTTACAGCTGTTATCATTTAAAATGAAACTATAAAAAGTATTGAAAAATTACAAATGTTATTATTTTGCAACTAAGGTCACCATAATTAAATCACCGTAACTAGCTAGAATAGGATAAAAATTCACATTAAAATGCGAGGTATTTATAAGCTTAACACACATTACACGTTACTTACAAATTTATTTTTATTAATTTTCATTTTTTTTAATCTTATAATATTATAGCATTTATTATTGGATTTGTAGCTGTCTTAGCTACTGTTAATGTAAGTAAAACTGCAACACCTGTTAAAAAATCAAATTCGTAAATAATTATTTTATATTAAATTATTATAGGCAACGACATTATATAGCCCAATACGACATCCGGATTGTCCAATTGATGAAGACCCTTTTGATCCGACACATCTTCCAGTACCAGGGGATTGTACGAAATTTTATAAATGTGAAAGTGGTTTAGCATATTTAATGGATTGTCCAGCTCGTTTACATTGGAGCGTATATCATAATCGTTGTGAACATCCAGGTTTAGCAATTCCAAAATGTAAAACACCAAACAAAATTCTAATTAAAAACATTTTATTAGATAAAATTGCAATCGCAGTTGAAGCTCCTATTCGTCACCCAGAATGCCCATTATATGATGATCCAATGAATCCAACATTATTAGCATATCCAAAAGATTGTAATAAATTTTATAAATGTTCTGATGGTTTAGCTTATCCACAAGATTGTCCAGCTGGTTTAAATTGGAATGATAAAGCTAAGATTTGTGATTGGCCTAGTCTCGCTAATTGTGTACCAAAAAAAATTCTAGCCAATTTCCAGCAAATCAAAGAAGGCGAAAAACCAATTAAACATAAAGACTGCCCAGCAATGGATGATCCAGGACGACCAAAACATTTACCCTATCCAAATAATTGCGCGAAATTCTATAAATGCTCATATGGTTTAGCTTATCCAATGGACTGTCCATCAGGTGAACATTTCGGTGTTGAAATTGATAGATGCGATTGGCCAAAAGTTGCAAAATGTGATCCTAACATAGATCCAGAGCCTACAACTGAACCTCCAACAAGCGAAACCACAAGTGAACCTACAACAACTGAATCTACAACAACTGAATCTACAACATCCGAAACTACACCTGAATCTACAACAGCTGAATCTTCAACTGAAACTACAACACCAACTACTACCGAATCAACAACATCAACTACTCCTGAACCATTACCACCAGGTATTGATTGTAGTAATGTTCCACATGGCACACTTTATCCACATCCAGATGATTGCCAAAAATTTGTTCATTGCGATAACGGAGTAGGGAGAGTTAAAAATTGTCCCGGAATTTTGCACTTTAACCCAGTTCTTTTAGTTTGTGATTGGCCCCAAGTTGCTGGTTGCAAAGTCAATCCGTGAAAATTAATGAATAAAGGAATTATAATTTAATCTTCACAATTAGAAAACTAAATAAAACCAATAAATAATTTTCCTAAATTAATTCTTTTTTATTTAAAAAAACAATGAAACCAATTATTCTTGATTTCTTCAGATTGCGCTTATAATCTTTAAATTATCGGCCTATATATTTATCGCGGTTATTGTTTACCTTATTTAATAGCGTTATATTTCAAAGCGAACAAGGTCTATACGAATCTTTCAGACTTTACTTTAATTAAGGAATTTCTATGGAAGTATAGTGACAAGCTCGGAAGGTTAGATGCGTTTCAATACCTAAAAGTAAGTGAACGTATGAATAATTTCAGAATTAGATAGATTTAAGACTCAAGTATGATTTGAATTTAAAATTAAATCAATTAAGTGCACAAATCATTCGAAATTATTTTGAAAACGTTACTTAAAATGTTAATAATTCCAAAATCACAATGTCAAAATGAAAAGCACACAAAACAAACATTTTTATTTCATTATTCTTTAGAGAGAAATTTTGCCTTCACTTATATTTTGTTGAAAAAAAAAAAACAAAACAGCAGCAGTTCGTTTTAAAAGCTTCGTTTAATATTAAAAATTTTCAATTGATTTATTTAGATTTCGTTATCTCTAAATTTCTAAGATTCATATCAGGCATACAGATTGTTGAACTCAAATCAAATATGAAACCACCAGGACATGTTTTCAATTCCCATACACCATTTGAACAAGTATAGTAAGCCATTTTACTGCCTTCTTTTATTTTAACTTTACCATCTTCACATTTCTCCTGTACCGCACTCATTTGTCTTTCTGTTCTAGTATTTTCTTTTTCAACATTAAGTTTTTTCTCACATTCTCGTGATACCATATTAAATTTGAAACCGGTTTTACAACTTTTTGCAACCCATTTTGTATTAATACATTCCTGATATTGGCTTTCATGTTTATAATTCGATTTGAATTTCCCTTCTGTACATTCAGCAGTTTTCGAATCAGATACTGTTGTTTCACAATTTCCAATATTCGGTAAGCAATATCTACTAGATTCATTGAAATAATAACGTTGTGGACATGATAATAATACCCAAGCTTGGTCACGACAATAATAATAACGATTGCAACTAATTTCATCTACTTTCATATCATCATTTTTACAAGTATTATCGTTCGATTTTTCATCTTCCGAATCAATGCTCTGACATGATCCATCATCAATAATGCATCGTTTTCTGTCAGAATTATAGTACATTTTTGATTCACATTTTACTGATTTCCAAATACCGTTTTCACACAAATAATATTTTTTACAATCTAAAATATGATTCTTAGTTTCACCCTCATCACAATTTTTTAAAGGTATTTTTGCTTTTTTGGTAGTTAGGTGGTTTTTAAGGTCTTCATTACATGTTCCATCGTCTAGTATACATTTACTTTTATCATCATCATAATACATACGAGGTTTACATTGTGCTGGAACCCATTTTTCATTTCTGCATGTATAATAACGTGTACAATCGAAATGATCGGGCTTAGTTTCTCCTGTTTCACAGGCATTTCTTTCAATACTTTTATGAATTTTCTTATCTTCACTTGAGTCACGATCACATTTTCCATTATTAATAACGCATTGTTTTTTAATATTATCATAATATTTATTTATATTACATTCTTTGGACACCCATTTATCATCAGAGCATTCATAATAGCGACCACAATCTAAAGCATCTAATTTAGTTTGACCTTCATCACAATTATTATTATGTTTAATTATTCCTGGAGTAACTTCATTTTCACTTAAAACTCCTTGAGGTTTGTTATTACATTCTCCATTATCTGTTACACACTCTCTTACATCTTCATTATAATAGGTACCATCCTCACATATCATTGGTATCCACATGTGATTACTGCATTTAAGATATTTCATACAATTTTGTTCGTTTGCTTTTACATCATCATCTTTGCATAAAAACTCTAATTTGTTGTTATCATTGTATGTTGAACTTTTGCAAATACCTTCATAATCTGTACGACAATCTAGGAAAAATATATCGAAATAATGATTTTCTGGGCATAAATTCAAATTCCACGTTCCATTTGTACATGTAAAATATCGTGCACAATCTTGTAAATCAGGTTTAGTTGTTCGCTCTATACATTTATCTGGAACATATTGAGCTTTCGTTGATAACGATGGTAATTCAGTACTGCTACTTAATGAATCTTTTTTTGGGTTAATAGTTTTAGGTGGTTGTTTAGTACTTGATCTTACTGTTGTGGATGGTGGTTGGGTTTTCGGTTTAATTGTTGTAGATGGAGGATTAGTTTTTGGTTTAATAGTTGTTGGTTTAATAGTTGTGGGTTTAACGGTTGTCGATGGTGGATTTGTAAATTTTGTGTCACAAACATTATTTATATCGATTTCACATTTATTTTCATCTCGATTAAAATACATATCTGCTTTACATTTCATTAGAACCCATTCTGAATTTTGATTACAAACAAAATACTGAGAACAATCTTCTACATCATATTTATTAGTACCGCTAATACATTGTTTCTCTAATACACACTGTCCTTCAGTTTCATTAAAGATATGCCTATGGACACAATGTCTTAGGGCCCAACCATCATTTTCACAAATGAAATATTTTTTTGAATCGCTTGGATCTAATATTGTGTCATTATCTCTACAATGAATATATTGTGTTATTAAAGCAGTATTACAACTACCATAATTTGGAATACAATTGTGAACTGTCGAATTATAATACTGATATGGTGGACATTTTTCATGTTTCCAATACAATTCTTGAGTATTTACTTGACCATCACATCGATAATATTTTGAGCAATCATTTGAATCTGGTGTCAAATAACCATACTGTTTCTGAAAGCATTCACGTTTTGCTAATGCTAAAAGACAGCAATACGCAAATACAACAGAAAATAAGGATAGTTTTCCTATCAAAAGAAAAAAACAAATATATAAAAATTAAAATCCTTGAAAATTAATTATCAGAAAATTTTAATTTATAAATTCTACTTTATTTTTCCACCTTTATAAGCGGTAATTAATTGTCTGCGACACGGTAGAATCAGACTAAATTTTATTTCATTTTAAAAAATATGTAAATCTAAATTTACTCTGAAAATTATGATGAATTAACCTAGTCGTAAAAATGTAAATTTTTTCAAAAAAAAAAAATCGAATTTTATAAAACTGATGACCTTTATTGAGAATCAAATTTTCATTTTAATTGTAGAAAAGTAGATATATCGAATGTTGTATATAAAATGTACACTTTTAATGCTTGACGGTACAGTGCTATGCCAGTAAGATTTTTACTTTTAGAATTTAAAAACCTTTAATTTAATTTTTAATAATACAATTTGTTTAAATTAAATATAATCTGTAATTTTAGATACGCAATTATTTAAAAACTACGCAAAAATTCAAAAAAAATTTCAACTAATCACAATTTTGCAAAAAAAAGGTAAGCCATTGCAAATTATAAGTGTTAAGCGCTTGCGCACGACTTTTTCAGTGCGTTCATTTATTTTAATAATATTATCCATAAAATGTAATCCAATACAGTATAGTGTTTAAGTATTCTATAAATAATAATTATTTAATATTAATTATTATTATTTAATTAATATAATAATAATAATTAATAAATTAATAAATTCCGCAAATTAGTAAAATTATTTTATTTATATTTTTTTTATAATATTGTAAACTCTTTAAATTCTCATTTTATCTAAAACTTAATAAATTTAATTTTCATTTTATTAGTTATTTTATTTAATATATTTGAAAATGGTACAGAAAACACAATAGAAGCACTTAATTAAAATTTTCGAAAAAAATTTTATTATTTTTTTATAATCCATTTTATAATTTATCCAAAATGTACGAGTATGCTTAATATTTTTAATTTTATATCCTTAATTTTCTTTGGTAATATTGAAATTATTTAATTTTACCTTTCATATCAATTTAATTTATAATTTAAAATTTATATTTAAATATGATTAATTATGTCAAAGTCTACCACCAATTGAATTTCAAAATTGATTGTTATATCAATAAATAATTTAGAACCCTTTTATACTAAATTCCTTAATTATTAATTATTTTATCAAAAATTATGATATCGTCTTACATTACACTTTGTCTTGTCATCTAAATTTTTTTCTTTTCATTTTCTTATTATTTATCGATAAAAGAAATCAAAATGATAAAAATCATTTTGGTACTAAAAAATGTTTTAGGAAAAAAAAAATTTAGCAATCGTTATGCATCAAAAATCAAAAATAAATAATAATAATTAAATTGAAAAAACTAAACACACAACTAAATATTTAGAATTTTATTAATGCATTATATAATATTGTTTCCCTTACAACTACAAACAAACGAAAAAAAAAAATATTACAATTGTATCTACTTAAGTGGTTAATTGGTAGGACATGAAAATATAACAAGACAATAAATAAAAAATGAAAAAGTTTTTTTGTAGTTTTAGAACAAATTTTAATACTAAATTTTGTGTTTCATACTAAATAGACGTATAATGTACAAAACGCGACGGAAGTGTGTAACTTAAAAAACAAACTTTTTCAAATTTTGACATTTCAATAAAACTTTAAATTAAGACTTATTCAACAGCTGTACAACATATTTATGTGGGTTTAAAAACTATTCACTTCATTAAGTTGAAAACAGAAGAAGAGCGACTTTCCGGTCTAGAATACACACCTTTAACTGGATCTGCGCAGAATCAAACGAAATTACCGCTGGCCTAAATTCCTATTTTGCCGCTGGTTTTTTTTCTTCTTTGACATCATCAGCTGTTTCCATGTGTGCACGAGACTATATGCAAATCAGTTGATTTTGTCGTTCAACTATCTTTTGGGCTGACAACGGAAATCATTCGCAGTTGCCGTTCACAACTTTGGTTCTGTTTTAACAATTATTATAAAAGCGGTGAGAGAAATTTTGATTGTCTCCCAATTTTTTTATTATAGAATTAACTTTTTTTTTAGATTTTCTTCGAAATCAATTTTTTTTGAGTTAATACACTTGAGTTCCAATAGTAATATACATAATATGTATGTACATATGTGCATAAACATTTTGCATGGTAATGAACTATTCAATTCCAATGTAAGCACATCAAAATTAAAAAGAAAACAAAAAAAAAACACAAAACTCATGTCCAACAACATGTTTACATAATAATGTTTGAACACATGTATGAACAACTAAAAAGAACATTTAAAATTAGAATATACTTGTACATACATACATGAAAATGAAATGTGCAAAAACAAAAAAAAAAAATCAAATTCAAATAAAAACAGAAAACGCAATTTATGAATTTATAAAAATTTTTTGATGCTCCGTATTCCGTAGATGGGGAACAATTTGCGCTATGTACTCACTTGTAGATATAACCCTAAGTAACTTTGAAAACTTTAAAGCTGATAAAATTTTTGTCTTTACTTTAGAAAGTTTGTATTGGTATCTTTCTCGTAAGGCAAAGCCACAATATTAAAGCAACTTTATAATAGATCTTCAATTCCACTCAACGGTCCTAAGATTCCGAACAGCACAACAACATAATATAATATGTCCATTAAAATCTGAAATAAAATAAAAAAAGATATTATTTTTTTGTTATTAAAATCAGGTGACATATCAAACCCTCCCCCCCCCCCCGTTTTGATCTGATCTGAAACTGATCTATCTTACAATAGATAATAACATTAAACACACTTAAAGAGAAAATAGTATGGACGTAAATCTATTTTACCTAAAATTTATCTAGAAATTTTCCTAATTCCATTTACTATAAAACGTAATATGAAAATGCATTTATTCAAAATTTGAACTTTTGTTCTAAATTACAATAGCCAAGTAGATTTTGCAAGAAAATTCAGGAAGAATGTAATGTTATCTCCTTCAACACGCCTAAATATTCATTCATTTCTTACAAAATTTAAAAGCACAAAAATACGATATTTAAATATTTTTTATACAAACATAACATTATATTATAATTTTTTTATATTTAAACATAATATTATTGTTTATTTTAAAGTATAACAGAAAATTTATCTAGCAACTATTTAAACTGCAATATTACAAGGTCAAATTCAAGGCCAACTTCTTCTTATTAACAATGAAAATTTTTTAAAGAGAAATGTACTTTGATATTCAACCAAGTTCGAATAAGAAATCACAATTGCTTTCTAAATTGATAACATATTCAATTATTAATTTATTTTTCTGTCATTTTTACTTTTTATCGATTTTCATTTAATTAAATACACACCTATTTAATATTGTAATTATTCAATTGTAACCATTTGAAATCAAATTTTTTTTAATTGTTTTATATCTAAAATGGTTTCATAAAAATAAAAAAACTTATCACAAATAAAATTATCCGACGAAAGTCAAAGAGTAAAACTGCGAATATTAAAAATTAAAAGCATTATTTTGTGGAGTAAAAGCAAAAATTCCGAGAAAATTTAAGTGACAACAGATTATTGGTTTGCCATACACAAATTTAAGTTTCGCATTAAATTTAAAAATGTGCATTTAAAATTGAAAAGAGTACATTTTGTCAACTGAGCAAAACACTATTCTCTACATAAAAAACTCATTTATCATAGTATAATACTCATATTATCTTTATTTTTTTTTATTTCTACTGATAAAGAAAACAATTAAAAGAAAGTCACGTGGATCTTATCGTTACAAGATAATAATATTTACAGTCATAACAAAAAACGTGAGATTGAAGTAAATTGTAAACATAAATAAATTTTCTATATTAAAATTTATGCGTTACAAGAGTCTTCTATAACAATATAATCTCTTCCTAACAATATAATTCAAACGATGCATTTTAGAGAATATCTTTCACATTCTCTAAGACACATCATTGTGACGTGATGTAAATTTATTCAAACACTTTATCACAATAAAATTGATTTCAAAATTTCAAATTGTATTTATGTTCATATACTAAAAATTTCAATACTTTCGGATAATACGCAATTACTCCAAGTGATACATCTAAGTCAATAGTTCAAAATATTTAAAGAGTTCTTTGCCTAACTTCTGCATATCTTGAAATTTTTAATAATTTATACATTAATTCTTTATTTAAAATAATTATCGTATTAATAAATTAATAAAAAAGGATGAAATTAAATATAAATTATTGTTTTTATCTAAACAGGCTAACTTCGAATGTTATCATAATCGGCTATGCCTAAAATTGTATTTAAAATTAAGGAAACAAAACAAAAACTTCATTTTTATTTTCTAAATTTTTTTTAATTTTCGTTTTATTTGGTTGTTTTTTTTTAATTTTTTTTTTTATTCTTTTTTAAGATATTTTCATGAAATTTATGCATTTTCATTTTTTTTTTGTTTTAAATAAAATTAAATAGTGACATCAAGATTTTCTTTTTATTTAATTATTTTACTTAAATCGTTCTTTGAAATTGTTTTTTTTTTTTTTATTTTAAATTTATAATTAAATATTTTATTGATTAGAATAATCGAATTAGTTTTGTTTTAATAATTTCAATATACTTTTAAAATAAATCTCTGCACATTTATTTTGCAATTAACTCTTTGAAAAATTTCATATTCATAATTTTTTAAGGTAAAAATAATGCTTTGAAAGCTTTTCTTCATAAAATTTATTAATAAAGCTGCTTTAAGTAATAATTCGTAAATTATTGTAATTTATTGTACAATTATTTTAAAATTTAATTAAGTTTTTTTTTGTGTTTTTGTTTTTTTGTTTTTTGTATAGGGATATAACGAATTAAATTAGTATTGCAAAACCATTTAGCGAAAATTTTTATCAAATTTATTATTCATAATTTCGCTTTTTGTATTCATATTGTTCACTTTTTTCTTTTGTTTTTTAATTAAAATTACAGATATTCAATATCTGTAATTTGAAATTGAACAATGCGATTACAATTCATATGTACCTATCTACTAAAATTATTAAAAAATTTAAATAATTTAATTAAAATCGGATCAAAATGAATTTATAAAATAATTACAAAAAATTATTATAATTATGCCAAATGATTGTAAAAGAAAAACAATTTTATTTTTGTCTTTTTTTTTTTGTAATAATTTTTATTTATCGAACATTTTCAAAATTCAAAAATTTCAAGAAAGGGGAGAAATACCATATTTTGTAATTACTATAAGGCAGCATAATATCTTTTCTTTTTTTTTTAATATATAATGTATTTATATTATGTATATAAACAGTATTAAACGTTTTCGGTGGAAAATATTTTTATTCATCCGATATTCTATTTACTTTCAAGAATTCTATTAAATTTTAATACATATATTGAAATAGCTTTAAATGTTCGATTTAAATATTTTAATTTTCTTTCTATAATAAAAAAAAATTTTAATTTGTTTTTTGTATTTTTTATAAATGTAAATTTAGTTTTATGAAAAAAAAAATAAAGAAACGATTGCAATTCGTAATGACAAAAAATTCGTAAAAGAAAGAAATTTTTTTTACTTATTAGATTTTTATTAAATATTTCTTTGATCTACTATTATTATTGTTTAATTGGAAAAATGTGTCAAGAGGGTTTTAATGAATAAAGTTATAATGTGCTTTAATATTAAGTATTGTTGTATTAATTGTATTCTTTCATTTAAAGGCTTTTTCTATAACTGAATGAGTTGAAACAATTGGATAAAATAAAAAATTTGGACGGAAACTGAATATAATGTGTACTAATACAAAATGAATTATTTTTTTGTGCATTTTTAATTGTGGTTTTTAAATAATTAATTTTTATTATGATAATATTTAAAAAATTTTTTTTTAATTAATTTTCTTTTGAAATTAATTATTCAACCTAAAAGAAAATTATTTAATTGCAATCTTTATTTAAATTAATATTTTTAAATACATACTTTGTGTTTACATTCAAAACGCAGAAATTATTATTAGTGTCTTTTATATTTTTTGAAAAAACAAAATTATCAAATATTAAAATAAAAAATTAGCAAATATTTATATCGAATTTTTAATATTAATTATCTTTTACTATTTCTTGTTTTTTTTTCTTTTCTTATTTAATTTTTTGTCAAAATTCAATTAATTAATGTGCATGATTAAAAAATTTAATTGCTTGTTTTTTTTTTTTTGGTTTTAATTTTTGAATCTTATTTATTAAACTTTTGATATTTTGTAGAATTTCTTATATAACGATATATAATTTGGGAAACGATTTAAGAACAGAAATTATTCGTATTTTATAATTAATAAGATTTCTTAAAAATTAGCTTTAATTTATGCTTTATTTCTTTTACTTTTATACTTTGTTTACGTGATAATTGCTTATAGAAATTTTAATTTTTTTTTTTTTTTTATTATAATATGGATTATTAGTATTTCTTTTTTTAAAAAATGTGTCATTTAATAAATTTCTAATATGATTGGTATTATTATTTTAAATAAATATTTTTGTGATATATAGGTGTTGTTGTTTTAATTATATTTCATTTTTCTTTTTCAATGATGTCTGAAAATTTTATAATATGTAGTTTTAAATAAAATGAATTTATTAAATACAAAATGAAAATACAGCGAATAAATTAAAGCTTATAATAAATTTTGTTATTTAAATATATTGATATATCTACTTATTTATCTTACAAAAAATAATTTATTATGTTATTTATAATAATCTTCAAAAAATATTAAAATTATATAAAAAAACAATACTTCTAAGAACTTTCAACAATAAAGTCAATTGAATCATATTTTCAAACATCATTTTCATTTATTATATAAGCAGTTTAGTATGTACTGATATTAATTTAATTTTATTATTTCTTATGTTATTATTTATGATCAAAATTAATTGATCAGAAAAATAAAGTTAAAAAACTTTTAATTAAAAAACATTTCAAATTTAATTGTGTTGTAATAATGCCTATTTCAAACAATATTTATAAAGGAATTGTAGATTTTTTTAAATTAAAATTAGTAAGTCAATTATTTTAATATGTTTTATATTGTTTTTTTTTTTAATATTTCTTTCTCTTAATCTATTATTAAAATCAAAAAATAGTTAAATAATAAATATGACTTTGTTACAAAAGATATTAACAATTTGTATGAAATTTTTTGTATTTGAATGCAGCAATTGAATTTGTTTTAAATTTTATTACATATTTGTTTTTTTTTTCAGAATTAATTTTATCTATTTTATTTCGATAGAAATATTTATAAATAACATCGTCTTGAGGTGGTATTAAGAATGAGAATTTATAAAAATTTGATTTTTCCTTAATAAAAAAAATCATTGTGTACATACACGCATATAAACAAAAAAAAAAGGGTAAATATAAAGAAGTAAAAATACTGAATTTTTTTTTTTTGAATTGTAATAAAAGAAATTCCAACAATTGGCAAACAGAAAAAAGATATTCGAATTATGTACCTACATACATATGTTTTATTAATTTTCGTAATTAATAATTTGAAAATTTATTTATTCTTGCATAAATTCAATTGGTATTTATCGTTCACATTATTAAATAATATTAAATGTTTGACAATATTCTTATGAATACGTGTAATTAGCTACCGATGCACAATTGTTTAAATCATAATTATTCATTTTTTATGGGTAATAGAAGTAATGTTTTTGTAAATTAATAAATTTACAATAAAAATTACAATGAATTCTATAATTAGCAAATGAAGTAAACATTTTTTTTTTTTGTAATATTAAAAAAACTTTGTATAATTAATTTAAACTTTGTATAAATATTTTATTTTGGAATTTTAATATTCAATTCGCATTCCTAAGAATATTGAAATCACTTAAATATAAAAATCGACAATATTTTATAAAAAAAAATTAAACAATATAAACATCTTCCAATTAAATTAAAATAAATTAAAGCTCATACTTAATATTTATTTATATATATATATGTAATTTGAATTTTTAAACTTATAATTAATTTATGTATTTTAGTCAAATTGATATCATTTACAAACGTTTAAAAACTTGATTCTAAAATTATAAATAATCTGTACAAAATTCCTCTTTTTTGTAGTATTTTTTATTTTTGAAAAAGGTTTTATTTTTGATTAGATATTCTTTAAACTTTAATTCAAAGTCAGTCATCATGAGTAATTTATGAAATGCACCTTTAATTAAACTGACCATAAACAATATAAATGGGAAATAGCACATAAAAATATTTTTGAAAAAATTTAAAAACTTAAATAGACGTAAGCAAAAATTTATATACAGTGAAATTTAATAAACCTACATAAAAATAAAAAATCGTGTATTGCTTCATTAATAATGGTGGAATTTTTCAAAGTTTAATAAATAAAAATATATATGTTTAGAACAAAATTTACTAATCAGAATGGCTACAAAACCAAAATGTGTATTAAGTCTTAACGATAGTAAATTAAGTACGAACCATATAAAAAAAAGTAAAATTTATGTTACTTCGGTAAAATTAATTTGAGTTAATGTAATGACAAAAAAATTTGATGATAATATAAATGAAATATCATTAAAATATATAAGTATATATAAACTGACTTTAAATTTAAAATTGGATAATAAAAATTATTAACATAAATCAATTTCATTATGATATATAAATAAAAAAAAACATAAATAAAAATTTGTTCGATATAAGGTAAACTATTTATACCTAGAAAGAGTACATACATTAATAAAAGTTATAACTTAGAAAAAAATGCATTGACAAACTAGAAAAAAAAAGTAAACAAATAACAAATGTGTGTGTTTTTTTTAATGTTGTTATCTTTATATAATAGTCTTTTTTTTTAATATTACCCTCCTCCCGCTAAAAATACTGAATTTATATTTCTTATCCTGCTATACATCGTTATCGTTATATTCTCTATACATTTGTACCAGTTGTATCTTTTAAATATTTATCTTTTGCGATAATTATGGTAGTTCTTTCAATTAACTCATTATTATCATTTTCATTTTTATTTGGTGTATCACTGGAATCATCGGTTTTATTTTTACTATCGTGCTCTATATTAATATCGGCATTTTCAATTGTGTCTAAATCTATTCGTATTCTAAGTTCATCTTGTATATTACCTATTCCACTTTTTGGCGGCGAGGAGGGTTTATTTTAAACGTATTGAAAATTATCAGTTGCTCTTAATAATGGTTCATGTTCGATATTTTTTTCCATATCAAAATACTCCATCCAATTGATATGCTGTGGTTTTAGAACGCCAAAACATGAACATTCCAAGAAATCAATCAAATTCAGCAAAGGACCACGTGTAAATGGACTTTTTCCATGGTTTGCTTGAAAATGACGATATCTACCGCGATTCATTCGTTCATTTGTTGTCATTCCAAGGCATATAACTTGATAAGTTTGACATATGGTTAGAACAGTTACCCAGGATAAATGTAACAAAGCATTTCCCATTACCCAACCAATCCAAGGATTACAATTAGCAATTTGATTTAAATTATTCCAAACACCTAAAATTAAAAGTTAGATTAAAAATTATTTGAAGACAATTTTATTAAAATGTTGTGTTTTTTCAAAATTTTTGGTGAATTTCTAGCAAATAAAACCATCGAGCATACACTAAAACAATAATTGTATTTTAGTGAAGAGATTACTCAACTTTATTAATACATCGCGATTTGAATCTTACCTTGTATAGGTGGATCAAGAATTTCTTACAAAATTATATAAAATATAAAAATTTAAAAAATTCGATCTTTAAAAAATATTTAGAAGACATTGAATAACACACAAATTTGTTCCTTTCGTTTGGAAAATTCTTTAAATATTTACTTTCAAATTTTTTGTTTATGTTCAATGTCTTTATCGAACATTTTAAAACTTACCATCACTTAAAGTGACATTACAGACATTTTTATAGTACTGCACTCCACCATATAACATCCATATGCACATTACAAGTAAACACCATAAAAAGCCCATAAAATACTTGTGATTATTTAAACCAATGCAATTTCCGACCCAAGGACAATGGTGATCAAAACGTGCGACACAACGATCACAAACACTGCAATGCTTTGATCTTACTGGCCTTCGCACTAAACAAGCGGAACAAAATGAGGATGGATCGAAACCCGTTCCACCTCTTTCTGATAATTCAATGATTGTCTAAAATAAAATAGAACTCGAATTGTATTTCAATTTTTTGTTTATAAATGTATTTAAAATACTCTAAATCGTTGTTCTTGTGTGGGTTTTATAACCCCGGGATCTCCTTTCCATGATTTCAAAAAGCATATCCATAATCCTCCCGAACAAAATAAAAAAGAAATAGTTTCCATTGATGTAACAGCATCAACTATATATACCATCCATGTTACATAAAACCATATTTTCGTTGCCAAATAAACACTAAGCGGTAATAAAGCCATCAAATGTTCATCAAATAAAGCTCTACCAATAGTATGAAATACTGCATATAAACAACCTAACAGAAAGAATTTAATGATAAAAAGAAGATTTGCTGTCAATAGTAAACCGGCTAAATAAAACGCTAAAAAAGGCGATGCTGCCATCGTCCACCATCTTATACGACGATCTGATTTCAAACGGTTTAATAAACTTTTTCGTTGCGATATTTTAAATTCATCACGTACTCGATCTGCAACTTTTTGTCCAATCCATATTGAACCAGACTGATTTTCCAACCAACTTAAAGGAGTATCACCTTTTTAAGAAATTATTTTTGAACATACTATGCATTATAATTAACTTTAAATAAAAAACCTCTTAAATTTGGAATGGCCAAACTGGCTTTGCCTTTTATGACTAGCGTAGTTATTGCTGTTGAATTTCGTGCTAAAATTGCCCAATGTAATGCTGTATTACCGTGAGTATAGTCTGCTAAAGCTGGATTTGCACCTAATGTTAATAACAATCTCACAGGATCGAGAGCTACAACTTTCCAAGCAGCCCACATAAGAGCTGTCATTCCTCCGCGGTCTTGCAAATCTGGATTCACTCCACGTGCAATGAAATATGCTACCAAAGCTGTGTGACCAAATTGAGCTGCAATATGTAAACAAGAGCATCCTTCGGCATCACGTAAGCTTGGATCAGCGCCTGCACTCATCAATATTACTACAGCTTTCAAATGACCTTGTCGTGTTGCCCAATGTAATGGAGTAGCATTTAACTCACCTCCTACAGCATCTACAACAGCACCTTTTTCTAAGAAGTATTTAATTATATCATTACGATTATTTATCGCTGCCCAATGTAATAATGTAACAGTTTCATTATCGGGTTGATTTACGTCCCAGCCAGCTTCAACTAATTCTTTAACACGGGAAATTGCACCATATTGGGTTGCTTTAACTATGTCAAAACCACTATAATCTGGCTCAACAGGGACTGACGGAGGCTCCCTTGATATCAACGCATCATGTCGATGTTCATGATGATCATGTGAGCAGGAACCTTTCACACGTAAAAAATGTCATGAACAAATTATATACATAAATATAGAATGAAATCGATCGATTAAATTTTGATTAGATAGAGCTCTTTAAATAATTACCTGTGGTAGCAGCATTGCAAGCACTCTTATACATGGGTATGAGATGTTTTTCAATATTATGAATTGGGAAAATGATGAATGCTTATTTTTTAAATTTTGTTTTCTTTTCATTGAACATTAATACGACAACTTACTTAATAAACAATCATTTAAAACTGAAATTAATCCAATTTTATTAACTTCTTAAAAAATGAATGACTTTTTGCGACTTTCAGTTCTTCTTTTTAGTGATAAAAATTGATTTAAATTGTCAAATTCGCTGCTATCTAGAACTTTATTAAGTTATAAAATACAAAACATTTACATACTTTGACTGAAGCCCAATGATTTTCGCGTTATGTTTAAAAATTATGCAAACAAAAGAACAAGATTGGAGTTTAGAGAGTGTGGTTTTTTGATTTCAAAAACAACATAGAAAAATAGCAAGCTTCATAAAAATTTTATTAAAATCAACAAATCAATCTTCAAAAAATAATAATTTGCAGAAACTTACATGAAATGTTCGAAATGTGAAATTAATTACTCAGCAATTCTTATGACGTTTTCTTTTTTTATATACAAAGTAAGGTTATAAAACTCAATAAAGTTATCGAAACTTCTTGTTATCTATGTATTTTTTTTTTTTTTAATTACAACTCGGTAAACAAAATTCTATTAAAAAAATTTAAAAAAACTTCTTTGTCACTTGTATTCAACTGAATAAAAACACCGTAACAAACAATTACAATTGTGTGTAAACCAAAGGTTATTCGTACATAACATTTTATCGCCAGTGCTGCTCTCTGTAGGTAGCAATAATTCACAATGTTTATTTTTATAATGCACGTAAACGTCAAGAACGTCCTTTAAAAAAATAAACAAAACTCATCTTGTAGAAATTTGGTTTGTTTTCATTGTTATGCTGGACTGAGATTAAATTCATGTACAAAATAAAATTTAAATCTAATTTATAACAATAAAATGAATATATTAAATATTAATGAAATTTGTCGTGTATGTTTAAATATAAACGTTCATAATACATATAAAATGTCGTCTATATTAGATGAAATTATTTCTTTGAAGTTAAAACTTTGCGGTGGAATTATAGTACTTTTGAACAAATTAAAATTGAAATTTTGTAAAATAAAATTATATTTTTAGATTGATGAGGAATTTAATACGGGATATCCAAAATTAATATGTGAACCTTGTTGTAAAAATTTAGAAATTGCATATGATTTTCGCACAACGTGTGAGAATTCTGAAAGAGCTTTGAGAAAGCTAATATTAGAAGTTGAAGCGACAAAGAAACACAAAGAAGACTCAAATCTTTTAGAGGATTTCGAAAATTCTTCTAATGAGTGTTTTCCTGAGGTAGAACATATAGGATCCCATATAAAGGAAGAATTGATGACTATTGAAGATATAAATGATTCAAGGTCTTTAGAACGGAACACTTTCAGTGGTAATAAATGCGGTGAAAAAAATCTAGATTCATTTTTACAGAGTAAAGAGCAGCAATTGAAAGTAGGAAATGAAATAAGTAATAAGATTAGAAAATATGTTAAGAAAAGTGTATTCAAACCGGAAACACCAGGAGATACAAAAGCAAAAAGAAAATATACGAAGAAAACTTTAATTCAAAAAGCCAAACTTAAAAAGGAAGATAGCAAATATGTTTGTGAATTTTGTGATTTAGAATACAAGGGAAAGAGTTCTTTTACATACCATATGAGAAGGCATACAAATGAGCTCAATTACGTTTGTGAGTAAGTAATCTAACACTATTTTGAGATCCGTACCCAAGTTTATTACGAATAAATCTTTTGTACTTAATTAGAATTTGTGGAACTGCATTTGAAACTAATTTTAAATTAAAAAGGCATTTTCTGAAGCATATGGGAACATTACCATATTCTTGTAGAACATGTGATATGAAATTTTCTAGCAGCAGTAATCGTGACAGGCATGAGAGGCGGTATATAAGATTTTAATATATATTTTTCAGATTAATGTAACATTCCTAATTTTAGGCTTCACACAACAATTCGCCCATTTCAATGTACTTACTGTGAAAAAGCTTTTAGCTATTCAGACCAATTAAAAAATCATATCAGAGTTCATACAGGTGAAAAACCTTGTAAGTAAAAAATATTAAATTAATTTGGTTATTTTTCATTTATTAAAATAAAAATCAAATTTTAATTTTAGATGTTTGCGAAAAATGTGGTTCAGCTTTTAAAAGAAAGAGTCACTTATCCGCTCATTCCAATGCTCTTACACCTTGTGTTATTAAAATGACATTAAAAAATAAAATTGTTAATGAAAAAACAAAACTTTCGAAAATTTGCAAAAATAATACAATTAAAAGTAAGAGCTCTAAGTCTAGTAACAAAAATCCTACTAACTCAAATGTTCGAACAACTGTTAAGGAGAATATTTCTACAGCTCAAAAATGTCATCCGCAAATTAATGCTTTTATTGCAGAAGATAATTACTCTAGTGATATTAAAGGTAAACAAAATGAACCTGATCAAGATGCGACTGAAAATTTTGAAAATGAAGACCAATTAAATTTCTATAACATAAACATAATTGAACAAAGTCCTTTTGTTAAGAAAAATGGTACAGATAAGCAATAAAAAATGGTTTTTTTTTTAATTTAAGACTTATTGGATTTTAATCATGTTATCAATTATTATGAATATTCTATATGTAAGTACATATGTACATATGTATGTATATGTACATATGTGCGAACTAGAACTTGAACTATTGCACTAGTGACGCACTCTTCATCGATATTCTTACTTCTAAAACATAAAAAATTTTTTTAATTTTTTTGAAATTTTGCATTAGTTAAAACCAATTTCAGAAAAATGAGCCCGAAAAATTTGCTTTTTATTTTATGTTCATATGAAAGAGAATTAATCTTAAAGACTTGGATTGAATGATATAATGAAATATTTCAAATTACAAGTTTTATTTTGATTTAATTTTTGTTGTACAATTATATTTTGTGCGTAAAATGTAAAAATATTTTCCCGAAATATGTAAATATTTGAACAGCTGATTCAGAAGTAAATTCCTAAGTTTCAAGTATTTAGTTTTTAATATGATGCTTCATATATGTAGGTACATTTTATTTAAAAACAAATTCTGGTAGACTACATAAGAAGAAACCAATTCTATTAGATTTTCTAAGTTTCTTGGAGAAATATTTCAATTGCAGAGCATTCATATTTTTGAGAGTTTCGTCACATCAATATTAACCTAGAAGAAAAAATTAATATGGTCTTAAAGTGTTAAAGTTAGAGTTTTGACAATTGTCAATATACTAGAAAGAGAATAAAAAATCCCTGTAAATATCAAATAAACACAGATGACAGCATCATTGATGCATGTGCTCTTTGTTTATATATTAATTTTGCTTTATTTTATGATAGATCAGATACGTTTTTAGTTTTCATTGTTTTGGATGTAAATCTATTTAAATAATATGGAAACTGATTCAGGTACACGAAAAAAAAACAAACCAGGTTTTGTTCATTCAATAAAAGTACCAACGCAATATAAAAGGGCAGCTCTAATATTCAAAAATGCAATTGAAAAAAAGAAATCACTAAAAAGTTTGATATACGAAGAAAAGCATGCCAAAATTGATAAATTATTCCCATTATTTCAAAAATATAATGATAACATGAAAGCTATAGAAAATGCAATTACAGAAACCAAAATTTTGGAAGATAACAAAAGTTTCAACCCATACTTAGTAAGTTATGACAATTTTTATTAAATTTTGATATATGTAACAATCTAAAATATGTTTTTAGTGTCGTGTGCTGATTACAGATTTATTTTTTTTAACTCAAAAACTTAATGGTGAATCGAGACCTGTTAAAACGGTTTTAGAATACCAGGAAAAACTATCCAAATATCTAAATGAAAACAAATTTAAGAGAGAAAACAAACCCAGTTTTGGAAAACCACGTTACATTCGAGTGAATACAAATTTATTTTCGATTGATGAAGCAATTCAATACTTTGAAAGAGAAGGGTTTTATAAATGTAATTATGATGAAAACGATTATGATGATTATTTAAGGGTGATTAAAGAACTAAAAGAAGAAGAATACGCAATTGACATTCATATTCCAGAATTATTTATTTTTTCTTCCTTAACAAGAAAATATTGGGCTACAAACGAATATGTAGAGAAGAAAAAATTTGCCCTACAAGATAAAGCCACTTGTCTCGTTGCCAAATTATTAAATCCGCCGGAAAATTCAATTATATTAGATATGTGCGCGGCACCTGGCATGAAAACAATTCATCTATCAAATTTAATTAGAAATTCTGGAACAATTTTTGCAGTTGAGCGTAATATTGATCGATATAATGTTTTAGTTAATATGGTTAAATCATCAGATGCAAAATGTGTAAAAACAATAAATGATGATGCTCTTCAATTAAATTTGGAAGATTTTACCAATGTGGAATATATTGTAGTTGATCCACCATGCTCAGGTTCTGGCATGCAAAATCGTTTGACGTTAGGTACAGAAACAAAAGACGAAGACAGATTATGGAAACTTGCAGGATTGCAAATCAAGCTTCTACAAAGCGCTTTAAGCAATTTTCCCAATGTAAAAAAAGTAATTTATTCAACTTGCTCATTATATCCAGAGGAAAATGAAGTTGTAGTGCAGACTTGCTTGCAAAGGTGTCAAAACTTTAAACTATTAAATATTAAAAAAGATTTGAGGAAAATGTGGAAAAATACCGGTGATACTAAGTATAAAGGTATAGGAAAACATTGTTTGTATTCTCTACCAGAAATTGATAAGACTGATGGGATATTCATAGCTCTCTTTGAAAGAAAAAAAGAAGAATCAGATTACAATTAGGCATTACTAACATTTTTCAAAGGACTATTTTTCATAATCTGTTAAAAAAAATAAAGATTTTCCATGATAAGACACGATTTATAAACCAAAGCATTTCTAGTTTCAATTTCTGATTTCAGATAGATCTAAGTGTACTTACCTACTAACTTGCTATTCTTGCATTCATATGAGGTTTGTCTAATATTCCTAAATCATAAGCTTTATATAAATACTAAGAACGTGTTGACTGTTTCCCGCATAAAATTCTTAGATGAATACAATATGGTTTGAAAGTAATTTTTATTATGAATCTTGATAAAAGTGATTCGAAAATAACAAATATAATTTTTTCAATTCAAAAATTACTAATCATTATACTTATGTATGTAACTATTTACGTAAAACTAATATTTATAATTAAAATTTACATATCTTAGTGCTGATTCATCAATCCATTCCAATCTTGTCTATAACCATTGGAGCTGAAATTAACAATTTGTTCTAGTAGATAATATTCAAATAGCCATTGTAATAATTATAACTAACCTATTCTTATTACAGCGCAAAGTAATATAAAGGTTAAAACATTAGATTTTACTGCTTCTCGTGCTCTTTTGGACTCCTCCTCTGGGTCCATTTGTGGTGGCATACGAAACATCTTTCAAAATTTTTTGGTAGAGTCAAATATTATCAAAACAAATTAAATTTCATAAACTTTTTTTCAATATTTAAAAATATTGTGTTTCGAACCTCGATTTTATTTCATACACAAACAGAAACAAACTTAATTTGAAAGGAACATGTGACGTAACATACTTGTTTGACATTTCTTGAATTGACATTTATCTAAGCATTATGTCACAAAGTATTCACAACTGAACCAAATATTTCATCTGTCCATGAAATATTCACAATTATAAAATTGTATTACGTATTTTGCTGTGTTTCTTATAGCTGTTTACATTATTCTTTACTATAAACCGTTTGCCTGCACTGAAAGAATGCGAGAAAATTTAGGAAAATTTTTGTTCAACACTCTACCATTATAATATAATATTGAAAAAATTTTAAATATTAAAAAAACTTGAAAAAGTAAGTTACATTTTACTCTTTCAGAGGGAAAAGATGAATTCCATTTACAAATTCTGCAATTTTTGTTGGAAGAATCGTGATTATTATTGATCAATTTGCATTGTAATGCAAATCTTTTATAATAAAATCTTTTTTAATTCCATATTCATTGCCTGAGTTTATAGGATGACTGTTTCATTAATCCTCTTGCCCAAAAGTAGTCAACAGGAACGCAACTTATGCCAAACATAAATGAAAAATTCGTCGTGTAAACACATCTGTTGAATTTGACATTCTAAATTCTAGAAGATTATTTAGAATTTGTTTAGTATAATATAAAATATATACTCATTGTTTGTGTCAATATTTCCCGTTATATTTCTAACGAATTTATAAAATTTATTTCTCATTTATTTTATTATTATTGTCAAAAGCAATTTGTTTTTAAAATAAAACTTTTAGCGAGTAACTATGTTTATACTTACATATATTTAAAAATTGTTTTCAATATTCACTTCGGTATTTACATTTTAGATATAACACTATCGATGCTTAATATGGAAACGAAGAGGCATGAGAGATCAACAGAAAAACATTTTTTATATAAGGTAAAATAAATATGATAAATCGTAAATTTTTTATCTGATAAATTCTTTAGATCCTCTTCAGTCTCAGGATGCCTATTAAGATGTTCAAAAGTTTAGTTGCAAATCTCTATTTTCAAAATATATAAAACTGCAAGGGTTGGGTACCTACTATTTTGCTTACAAGTTCACGTCATCCTAAAGATTTGGTTTTCTTCATAATTATAATTTAAGAATAGAAATACTGTCAGGTAATAAACATATTAGTTTAAATTATTATTTAAATGTACGGTTTTTATTTTGTAGTATCTGATTTTTCAAGTATGTGACGCTATCAAATGAAAAGAATATATTCATTATAATGCAAGAAGACATTTTTTAAACGTAAGTACTTTATTTCTGCCAAAGTGTGTTTAATTCAAAATTACTAAAACACTTACTAAAATTTTAACCCAAAGATCTTTATGAGAATATAAATTTAAGACATCATATGAATATAGTATAAGTTCATAGTATATGTAGTACTGCAATGAGTTCAAAACTTTTATAAAACATATATACATTCATATAATATGTTTAAATACATAAAAAAAACGTATCCTTTATTAAAAAAAAAAAAACATTTCAAAATTATTATTTATGATACTTTATTATGATCCTCTTTAAAACGTTTTTCTGATATTATGATCTCTTGCAGAAATCTTATCATATGAACAATGTCATGCTTAACTAGGTAAAAGTATTATGAATGAGCTATGCATTATACTATTTATTTAATTTCTATATATGTACAAATATATAATTTAATAATTAAATCAAAATATAACCTAATGATAAAGGGCTCTTATATAATAAAAGCAAGTGTGTACTTGTTCAAAAATAATAAATTTTATTTTCAAGGCTCATTATTTTTTCATATATGCATATATGTATAATAAAAAGTGAGAATATAATATTTATATTCATATTTTAACATGTCCTAATTAGTGATATAGGGGGGTTGTAAGGTATACATAGTATATCACAAGATATTGTAAAATTAAATTTTCTTCATGTTTTGTTATTGAGTCTCATATATATGATTTATCTACTATACTCATCAAAAATCAAAATTAAATACAATATGTTATTATTAATAATTAATTTTCTAGATAGGCTTAAATTATTTAATAGCCTTTTAATAATATATGTATTTTGTTTCAGATGAAAGTGGAAAATAATTGCATGTTTATAGTAATTTAATTCTGATCGTCTATTTAGAGAAATTAAACTTATTTGTACATATATTTAAAAAAAAAATACAGAAATAATTTTAAATTTCTATTTTGGTATTCCAGTTTGAAGACATTTTCATTCTCATTTTCATCTTATATATAGAATTCTCGGCAAATAACATCGATTACGATTAAAATGGTCTCTTGTATAACAGAATAAAATTAATATATTTTTTGTACAAGGTTTGTAATAACGTTGGTTAATAAGTACTTAATCTACAAGTGTTCCTTAAACTTTTAATGTTTGTATACTTTTACACTTGTAGCGCATTAAATATGTTGTACAATTGTTTTACAGTACCCCCGTTCTGTTTTATAGTGTCTTTAATTATTATTTTAAAATTTTCATTAAATTATTAATTTTCAAATTTTTTGTTCAGTTGTTAACAATCGCTTCATAGAAAGCTGATTGTCTCCTGTTTGATGGCTTCACAAAAAAAAATTTCCACAGGTTAAGAATCATTGAATAAGGAAAACTATACTATATAAGGAAAATTATATAGCTGTGTGTTATACATATACAAAAAATTCTGTGTTAATGAATTTAATTACTGTGTCAAAGACCTCTTTAGTTTGAAATATTATGAATGGAGAATTATGATTGCACTTTGAAATAGCTGCGTTAGGTACAAATAACACATATTTTTTTAAGGAAAACTCTATTTGTAATTTATATTAAAACCTCTCAATAAACCTTTCCAATATATTTGAAATTTTTAAATCAATAACATTATTGTAAGGATTAAAATTATTTTAAAATAATATAAAAAATAAACAAAATTCTTATGATTTTAAAAAGTGATTTCATCAACAAGGATATTTTTTTACTAAACAATGTTTTTCGACGTACAATTTTTTTTTATGTCCTATATATCAATTAAGTCTAGACAAATAGACGCTATATCTAAAGGAAAGACTGGGAAAAATATTTTGTAATATATTTTTTTTTGTCGCATTTTCGTTTTCTTTTTTTACTCCGTATATCAAAAAGAGAAAAAGGAAAAAACTATAGTGAATTCGTATTTTTCCTAAGTATGATTATAGATAAAAATTTGTTCTTTAAACTAATTTAAATATCTTAATTAGAAATCTTAAAAATTCCTTTAGTTAATTTTCTTATATGCATTTTTAACTTTACATAACAAATGTAAATTTATTATATATAAAAAAAATCACATTTTCCTACGTGGATTTTCCATATGTTCCAACTATACACAAAATCAGTCAGTACCAATGTACCTTAATAATGAAATCAATTGAATATAAACATTTGTTTTTGCCCTTAAATACCTGCAATTTTATCGAAAATACGTCAGAAATATATTTTACATAATAATGTTATTGATAACAATATTTATTGATAAACCTTATGATGTTTAAATTTATTTATATTAAAATAAATAAAATTTTACGGAATTATAATAAAAATATTTAAAATTATCACAAATTTCTGATATTTTAATTAAAACCATTGCCTAAAAATATGCTATGTTTTAAAATAGAAAATTATATACTTTAAAATTTGGTCTTGAACCAATATTCTCTATATATATTCGTTACATACTTGTTATATTTATCAGCTACATTGGTTATTTCGAAAATTTATGTACTTTTGCAGAAATAAGCACATGTTTTTATATTTAAATTATTAAAAAAAAAATAGCAAAAACATAATAAAACACAATAAAATAAATGATAAAAGAACAACAAAAATACAAAAGCAACAGCAGATTTTGGAAAAAAGCAAAAATAGCTTATCAAAACATTTTATGGAATAGCTAGCTATCCTTTATTTCGGTAAAACAATATGATATTAATAAGAATTGCATAAACATAGGCGGTTAATACTATTTTACGTCACTTACCTATATAGGAAAATATAAACAATAAAAGCGATTATTTAATAAAAAAACGAAAAAAAAACAGGAAAAAAAATTGGAAACACAAAAATTGTTTGGTTTTTTCGTTTCTTTGTTTTTTTGTTAATAAAATATCTAGGGAATATTTTTGCAGAAATTTTGCCAGATTTATTTACACACATTTTGTTATTATTTTGTTTTTGTTATTCTCAATATTTTCTTTATTATCCATTACATTAATAAAAAATTCTGCGTCGAATCCTACTCTCGCTTAGAATCAAATAAGATTTGTTTTTATTTTTAAAAGCATGTACATAATCACACATCTATATGTACATAATGATATATACATGTATACATAAGTTTAATATATAAGTATGTGTACATTATGTATTACAATATTTTTTGTGTTAAACCCACCCTCTATTTCACTTTTCATTACAAAAACAAAAAAATTAATATACTATGTGGTTATAACAGAAAAGTGATAATAGAAAAAAAAAGAGAATAAACAAAAAAAAAATTAAAACTATCGTTGTATTTCGAAAGAAGAAGAAGAGAATCCTGTCGCTTTTAGCCCCTAAAAGTTGATTATATAACAAAGGAATAATTATATATAATGTTCTTTTATGTTTTGCGGCGATTTTCCGACAAAAGTGAGGAAATTAAAAAGAGAAAATTAAGATTTAAAAAATAAACTGAAATTTTTATAACAAAAGCTAAATTTTGTCAGGTACAAGTGATTTCCTTTTGTAATGTTAACACAAAAATTAAAAGTCTTTAAAGAAAATATTTTTTTAACACTTTAATAATTTTTTTTTTCATTTTTTTTGTTTAAAATTTCAAAGCATTGCCGACCGTATAAGACAAACAAAAGAAATTTGACTCCAGAACAAATTCAATGATACCATGAGCATTTTATTATATTTTGATATTTTGAGCTTTATTTAATATTTTGTGTATATTCAACTTTATTTAGCTAGGGAACAAACCAGTCAAATCTGTATATTTAGGCCAATTATAACATTTGAGCAAATTTCTCTATAGTGTAGCACAACTAACTAATTTTTTGCAAATATTTGCTGGTGAACTTTATTAGTTGATGGGGAATAACACTTTTGCTTTTACCTTTTAGTTTTAAAATCGTACATTTAGTAAAATGAGTGTTTATTTAAGATTCTTGTCAAATAGTATATGGTAATAATTTATGCATTTGCTAAATTTCTAATATTTATAAATATATCTTTATATAAAAGTTCTTAATTAAAATTTCAAAAAATTAATTTGAAAAACTATTTAAATTTTAATTTCATACTTTACCCCATATATTACGCAATACCTGTAATAAGTTCCTTAATAAAATTTTTTTTATATTTTTTTCTCAAAAAGTTCAACTATTCAATCCTTTATATACTTATACAATAATATATTCCTTTTTTTTATAGTATTCCTGAATATTTTAACATTTAAAACCGCTTATACATAGTGACACTGACCCCTAACAATCTTATATTTATTGGTTTAAACTTTTTAAGTTCTCTTTCATATTTAAAATTTTTCTCTAGCAAATACAAAATATTATTTTATTATTTAATTCTCTCTCTCTCTCTCTTTTCTCTTCCTATATTTTTCATTCATGTTTTCTTTATTCTCTGTTTATTTAATCTCTCGATATTTTTTTTTCAGTAAGTTGTTGAAATTTTAATAGAAAACAATAACAAAATTGAAATTTCGTTTGTCTTTTGCCTCTGTTAAAAATCTGCAAAAAGAGATTTTTAATAGATTTTTGTGGCGTTTTTGTTTTTTTGTTTCCTGTACTGCAAAGTCCTTTCATATCATTTGTATGGGCGTGAGTGTACCTAAAAATATGCAATACATAATATAAATATTTTTATATTGTAGTTTCTATAGTTTGTGTAAGTAAATAAAAAGCAAGAAAAAAAATTATTTCGTCTGTTTGTACATAGAAAAAAGAAAGAAAGAAAGAAAAAAAAAATTTTAAAAAAAATTTTTCATTTTTACATTTTCAATTTTTAAGGAGTCGTCGTTCAGTCTACTTTTAGCTCGGCTACATTTCGGTTCTATATCCTTTTATAAAAAGGACAAAAACGAAAAACTTAATTTAATAATTTTTTTTTTCGTACATTACAACAAAAGTCTTATAAAACAAAAAAAAAAAAACAAATAAATTAAAAAAAAAAATTTTTAGTCTATTTTTTTTTCCTTTTCTTTCTTACATTAGAAAATCGTTCTTATATCCTTTATTTCTCAAATTAATTTTTATAATTTTCTTCTAATAATCTTTCTATAAAATATGTCAATTTTAATTTTTATAAAATAATTAATAAAATAAATTAAAAAATAATTATTAAATTTTATTTCATTCTTTCAAAATCTTGTTATTTCAAAAACATTTGTTTATTATTTAAGTTTTAATTTTAAAAATCATTAAATAACCCTATATCCAAATACATATATGCATCATACATGTGTACATTTGTTTTTTTGTTGAGGTTTTATTATAAATTCATATGATATATATATGATATATATATGATATATAATAGTATAAAGTGAATTTCTGTGTTCCTAAAAATAATTTCGTAAAGAAAAAGAAATAGAACAAAAAATAAAAAATATTTGTTTTTGTTAAATGTACATACATATATATAGTGGACTACTAGACAATACCTATAGCATATACACAATAATATAGAAAATATTAAAAGGTTTTCCACATGTAACAATATAAAAAAACAAAAAAAAAATTCAATCTTGTGTGGTGCATAGGCACTCTTACAATTACTGTGTGTACCTTTTTCTATCGTATATTTTTATTTTTTTAATTTAAAAACTAAGAAAAAATTGAATATATTCATTTAAATATTCTTAATAATATTGTATTATTATTTAAATGAGAATATATATCATGTAATATTTTAATATATATGTACTTAAATAAAAGTATATATGTAATATATATAGCAAATCCAGTGCAAAAATTCTTAACATAGATTTTCATTCTTCGCAAAGAAAATTTGTCAGTTTTTCCTAATTCTATATATATATATATATATATATATAATAAAAATAATAGAGAAAAAAGTAAATAAGAAGTAAAAACAAAAAGGAAAACATATACACTTTGTTACTTTTTGTTTGTTAATAATAATAACAGTAAAAATAATAATAATAATATTAAAATAGAGAAGCTTTTGTATATGTACATAAATATAAATATATATGATATATGAATTGTGAGGGTGTTATTATATATTTTCTTACACAAACCATATTATATACTCAATAATATAAAAAAGAGAATTGAAAAGAAAAATGTATGAATATTTTGAATATTTATAATATATTTAATAAAAAAAAAAACATGTTATATACCCTATATAATATATATATATATAGAGCATATATAATACTTACATTTATATATATATATTAATATAGAATTGAATAATTGCCTTAGTAACATTTTATGCGGTATGTAAAACAATTTGGTTTTTTTTTGTTATTATTTATATGTTATGTATATATGTAAATATAAATACTATATATATATAAATATATACGAGTAGTACAGTAGAAATCTGATCTAGTGAACACTCAATTTTATGAACTTCTCATCCAATTGAAAACACTAACTTTAGTATATGATCTATACCATTTATGCAAAGGAAGCATTTGCAATAAGCGCCCCAAAAAACGGGCGCCATTAAAAACATAAAAAATGCTTTCATTAGTTGCTTTCCAAAGATATTTTTCTTTCTATTTATAGTGAAATTAACTTGATAACGTGTGCGTACAAATATTGCCAAACAAAAAGCTGAAAGTGTAGTGTCAGGCTTTAATTCTATGACTTATCTTGCATTCATAATGATGAAGTTACAAGAAAGTGATTATTATACGCAATGTGCAATGTTTACTGTATAATGTTGTATATTTCTTTGAGCGGGGGGAAGACGACACTTTTTAAAAACCATGCAGCGCGCTTTCCCAAACGTTGGTTTCCAAACCAATGGAACGTCTTCAGAATTAGAAAGAATGAATAGCCCGTACGGCTCAATAGTATGAGTAGCCCGTATTTTATTGTGTTCACTAGAGCAGATTTCTACTGTATTCCTTTATTTTGATTTTGTTTGTTTGTATTTCATCTTATAACAAAATTATATTGTACAAATTGTAATCATATTTTTGTTTTCATTTCGATTCTTTTTTAATAAAATTATTTGTTCTTTTCTTTCTTTATTTTCCATTTTGTTTTTTTTTTTGTTTATTTCCTTTTGTAGATTCAAATACCTGTTATAAAACTATATTTTTCCTTTTATACACCTGTATGCGTACCTTTATATTCATACCTATATATTTAATGTTAATAAGATAACAAAAGATGAAGTTATTGTAAGGAGAAATTAAAAGAAAAAAAAAAAATTATTTTGATTTTTTGTTTAATGTATAACAATAGCAAATATATATATATTTACTCTATACATATATGTATGTGTAAATAAAATATAGAAAAAAAAACAATGTTTAATAATATAAATTTGAATATGTAAGAAGAAAATGTGATTTTCCATTATATACTCGTATATTATGTGAGCTTAAAAAATCAAAATACTCGCACGTTATTACATAGCTATACATACATATATACATATATGTGCTATATATATGATATATGTATTTGATTTTTAAAAAAGCGATTATAAATTTTTATTACAACTACAACACTTTATATTTTTATTAAAGTTTTTACATTACAATAAAGGTAAGTGAAATTTCTTTAATTTAATTTGTACATTTTTCATTATTAATTTCAATGATTCCTTTCTCGAAAAATTGAAATTTCACTACTCTACAATCCAAGCTACAGGTAATAAATACTCTGGGAAGAATATATGAGCTTTAAACACAGAAAAGAGCTATCAATTACTTCGATTGTTTGAGGCAGTAAGAATGGGACGACCGACGGACAATCGTTTGGTTGTTTAGGTGAATCATCTTGGAAAGTAATATTTTTAAGTCATATGGGAAAAAATTCATATACAAAATCCCAAACTTCCTTATAGTATTAGTATAATCCCATCCACGTGCCATGTTTCTAATTAAATAAAGAAATCGCAATCTGAAAACTGAATTTTTCTCGAAAAAATCATTGCATTCTAAGCAAACTATTTGTTATTTTGTCAAGTTCTTTACAAAAAATTTTTTTTCTTTCTCACTAGAAATTTTTACTTAAAATTTAAAATTGCATAATTAACTAAAAAGTTTTTTACAATTTGTCGATTAATTCCCAAAAATTTTGCAAACAAAAAAAAAATTCTGATTTTATACAAAATTTTCTCAAGGATACAAAATTTAATTAACATAATATAATTATCCTTATAATATAGCTAACATGCTTTTTCTCTTTAAAATAAAAATATATTATGCAAATTCCAGGAAAACAAAAAAAAAGTTCGTGATTCCCGGTAGACTAGATGAAAATTGAAGAAAAATAAAAATCCTTGTAAAAAATAATAAAAACGAGAAAAAATAGAGTTTACCTTGTCAACTCTGTGATACCCGTACGAATTTGTTATAATATGTGCGAATAAATGTGCCATAACTGATTATGGGACAGACTATGACTTTAAGTTGCCGTATTACTATATTAATTTATGCAAAATTTCAGTACTGTGTTTTTCAAAATACTGTGTGTCAAACTACTATTGAAGTTGTATGGCACTTACCAGAAAGAGCCAAGAAATTTTAACGAATTTTATGAAACACATCGGCCCTACTAATAATATATTTGCTTGTGTGAAATATCAATACCACAGCTTTCATAATTTCTGAGATATAGCCAAATAAATTTTGAAGTTGTATGGTAGCTACCCGAACCAGCAATCCGATCATGTCCAATTTTTAATAGAGTTCTGGCACTTACTACAATCAATCATTTGTGAAAATTTGGTGAACTTAGCTAAATTAGTTTTTGAGTTATCGTTGGGACGGGCGGACAAACAGGCGGACAGACAAAGCTAAAACAACTCAGAATTTGACGCTGATCAAAAACATACACTTGAGTCTATATCTAACACCGTTATTTCTTAGCGTTACAAACGGTAAGGCAAATTTAGTATACCCTTCGAACATACGTTCGTACGGGTATAAAAATTTGAAAACGGAAAATAAACATTTATTCTTAATTTTGTGTAATTAAAAAAAAAAGTTTTTTCAATTCGTAAAATAATATTGGAGGATTTCGATCATAGACTAGTGAGCTTAGCTTAAAACATTACCTCTACAAAGTAATATATATATGCAAACTATGATAGCAATACTGAAGGAGTTAGAGTCAATGAATCGGATTCGAGAAATCTGAGACGAAGTCAAAGAGTCGCAGCTCAATTTTTTTTTTAAATTCTTCTCAATTTCTCCGTAAATGTTTTATGTATGATAACAAAATTTACACTGATTAAGAGAGGTAACAGACAGTATGAAGGTACAGAGAATATGAAAGTTTAAGAGAGAAATATAAAAAAGTAATTACAAAAGAGTAAGCGGCAGATGTAAAATTTGCTATCACCTCGTGGGTCGGAGGTTGGACTGCAAACAGTTTTAATTTCGAAATTGAATTCGTAACATAGTTGTCTTCTTAATTTGATTTGAATATCATGTTTTAACCTACACAATATGATAGCGCAATTCATTTCGTACAATATTTATTAGTATAGAGTTAAGAAATAATTTTGTAAAATTATTCTTCAGTAAAACAACTTTACTTTTTTAGATGATTTATGAATCAATTCGATACCACCTACTTTCAAAAATTCCAATTAAATTTTAAAAACCCAAGAATTATATAACAAAATTTCTACTAGAGAAACTTTATATTACTTTTCAAATTTCGTTCGAATTAAAATGTAAATATTTACTCTAAATTTCTAAATAAATACGATTTTGATGCAAAAAATAATTTAAAATATTTTAGATTCATTTCGTCTTTATTTATTCTTATAAACAATTGTGAGCTCGTGTATCTATTGAAATTGAAATGAAGAAATTAACTATGAAGTCAACCATAAACTTACATGATAAAATATTTCTATAGAATAGATAAATATTCCTATTACGATTCTTAATATATAGTTATAGAAAAATTTTCTAATACGAGTATAGAATCGAAATTCAGTTCTAACCACCTCATGGTTTTCTCATGAAATTTTCCTTAAAATCCTATTCAGTTATTTCAGTATCTGAAAATTTTTAAAGGAATGAAAAATTTTTTTAATGCAAAACTCTATTCAATTGCAATGTCAATATTATTATATTAGGTATTTATGTAGGTACGGGCATAGTAAATACAACATTTCCTATATACAAACATGAACATACATACATACATATAAGTTAAATATTTGCTTGAGTTATGCTGCGAAAATTCTCATTCTACATCTACGATTTTGTATGCGATTGCATATTAGTCAAAAATATTATTTCGTCAAGGATAATTTAAAACAAAAAAAAGAAATAATAAAAAAATTGTAAACATAAAAATGTTTTTAAAAGATTTGTGGCGGAAAAAATCCAACTTTTTTTTTTTTTATGGTGAAAAGTAATGAAAAACAAAAAAAAACAATTTTTTTTATAATCGCTTTAAAAATCTTGTAGCTTTTTTTTTTGCAACACATTTTAATTTTTTAATAAAAAATAATTTTGAATAAATTTGTTTTATATTTCTTTTTTGTTTATTTGAAATGTTCTTTTATGTTAAGTAATTTTTGCTTTTAGAGTACCATAATTTTAAAAGTTTATTAACGAAGCTGCACATAAGCCGACGTTTGTTTTTATAAATTCATTTTTTCAAAAAGGTATGAGGTAGAAAGTGGGAGGTATGATGTAGAAAGCTTATAAAAGTGTTTAACTCCAAATTAGTTTATCAACAGAAAAACTTTTCGTATGACTGTTTTCAACTGATAATAAACATATAGGGTCCTCCAAAAGTCTCGCCTATAGATGCCGTTAAAATAAAATTGATAAAATAAAATAATCAGAATTAAAATTGACAGCGCGCAACATCTTAGTTATCGGCTCATTCCTATTATAGACTGTATTGTGATGAGGAATATTGAAGAGCTTAACCAACCCAAAAATTATTTGATTTTCTACTATAAGACAGCTTTCTAGTTGTTGTTGATAAATAAGAACCATATCAGTGATCTAGGAGAGAACGGTACGGTATCCAAAGTTTACACACAAACTGCAAGATGGTCTTAACATAAGAAAAGTATACCGATATTTTCCAAAGTAGGTGTCAGAAAACTCATTTGGCCACTTCGTAACGAATGCACCCTTTTTATAACCATATTATTGTGGGTCTGAAAGTCAAATCTCTGGACGAATCAAGTCTCTGTTTACCAGAAATAAAACTTTTTTGAGCAATTTATTTCAGTTTGCCTTTCTACCTGTCTTTCTGCACCTATGTCTGCCTAGGATAAGTTAATAATATGTATGAGATCTTCTATTTTATTTAAACAACACTTTTTCCCATTTTCTAGCTCGCGCATATTATTGTCTGTTTTCGCATATTAGGAAAATACAAATTTTCGGCAATTCATTTCTTTTAGGAAAGATTTAGGAGCTTTGTTAAATTTTTATAAAAACAAGAACGAAAAAATATTGCATATTTACAGGGGAAGAATGTAAATTAATTTACAGCTAGCTAAGCTTTTTTGTATTAATTACAAGGATTTGTACCCTAGTGTATATGCAATTTTTGAACATAATATAAAATGAAAACATTCCAAATTATTATTTTTTAAGAGAAATGTATAATTTTACAAACTATTAGGTAAATTCTATTACAAACTATTAGGTACATTCGATCCTATTCTACATAATATTTGAATTCTACAGGTTAAAAGAATTTAAGTTGATTTATTATCCTTGTCACATTTTAATAATTTACATAATACACAAAATTTTAAAATGTACACAAAATATCTAAATTTATGTTATCAAAATATAACAGTACATATAAAAAATATCTATAGTACAAAGGAAATACTTAACAGATAAAGCCCTTTTGATATTGTTTAAAGTATTTCTGGCAATATTTCAATTTAAAATTCTCATTTTTTTAAGAAACTGAGTAAAGATTTAAGTAAAGAATTGCTATACAAACACAATTAACTAGTATACAATAGATGACAATGAGCCTTATATCATATTTAAACAGCTGGGCTATTGTTAAACATTAAATTCTTAATTGTATAAATTGATTTTTAAATGACCTTAATTTTAGGAATAATGTCGTATTTTTTCATAAGATTTATTGAAATTTTCGCATATATTGTAATTTGTTATAATTATTGCCGTACATAAACTCATACAATCTCATATAATGTCAATCTCATACTGTCTTTAGTCTATGTTAATTAATTTTTAACGCTCCTGAAAATTTCTTTTGATAAAATGTAATTTTTCTTTAGAATGTACATGAAAATTTTTTTATCTTGCTTGCTTTTTGATTAATTCTTTCAAAAAATAAAATAAAGCTAATTAATATAATGTAGAGTTTGTATACATAGAAATTAATTATATAGCATTAAAATTCCATAACAATATTTTAGTAGTGATAGCCAGGCCCGGCTCTGACAAAAAGTGAACCCAGTTTTTTGGAAAATACATGCGGAAAAAATTGGAAATTTTTTTTTTTTTTGAAATATAGTTTTTCTTTTTTAAGTTTTCAACGGCACCCATTGTATTTGCTTATTTTGCATA